AGCCAGACACCCTGAAGCAGTTGTGTCCCATCTGCCCACTCCAGAGACTCTAAGATACTATTAGAGCAGAGGAGTGTCACTTGCTGTGGGCTGTCACTTGTCATGTGACACAGGCAGCTGTACAGCTAAAATACAACCAGTGTGCACACTGAAGGTGCAAAGTACTGGATTCCCTGTGTGCAAGGAGGTGAACCGTGCTGTTCATGCACACAGCAGATCCCTCCCTGTTTCGAGGAGCAGGAAAAGGTCATGACAACTAAGGAACCATTCACGATGACTGGTCTGAGCCATAATACACTGATCTATGTAATAGATATTTGTAAATGTCTTCACAGATTTATAATACTGATAAATAACGTTTCTCAAAAATTAGTCTAAATGGTCCACATTATACAGATCTGTCTGAAATTAAGAGAGATCCCTCTTTTTCAAATCTGGGGACTCTCTACCTTATCTCATGTCTGAGTTGAGAGCTTGTTGCACACTTTATTCTTCTTTATATTACTTATATTTTTCTCCTCTAAAAATTATTTTAACTTTAGAAAGCTTTTGTAGCATAGTGTATATGCAAAAGAGCCAAAAGCTTCCAGCTGATGTTTGAAGGTGGGAATGTGTCACAGGCCAGGTCCATCCAGCTTCCTTCTTTCACTCATCATGCATTCCTCATATGCTGAGCTGTGACCAGATCAAAGAGAGGGCAGTTCTGTTTCATTTTATTTCACCTCAAGGCAGCTCTGCCAGTCCTTGAGTGCAGCTAGGTATTTTGTGACACAGCAAATCCTTCTTTCAGAATATGTGGTATTTGCAGTGGTAAAATTTTCCACCTTCCTTTACACAGGTAGTCACCCCTTCGTCAATAGATTTCATAATCCTAAATTACTGGAGGTTCAAATTGGTAAGATAGGAAAAATAGCAACACAGGGCTAAAAAGTGTTTCATTTTAAGATTCTTTTTTTTTTTGTTATTACCTCCAACATGTAGGATTTCTAATGTATTTTAAGAAACCTAAAAATTTTTGGAAGCACCCAGAGCCAAAACTTCCAAACTTCTCATCTGCAGAACTTTGAAAATCTATTGTCTTCAGTGAGTTCCTGATCAAAAGGGTCCCATCCAGTCTATACCTGTCACAATTAAGCTGGATCTCAAAATATCTATCTATTGCTGAAACATGTTTCAAAGATTAGCAGTGACACAGACTGCACCTTTGTCTGCAAGCCTGATTTTACATAAAAAGCTCTCAACCAGATTGAATGAAGAGTTGGTGCTTGTAGTTAAGAAGCAACTCTTAAGTTTGACCTCTTGATTATCTTTAATTACCTGCAATGCAAGGTAAAACTGGCATTACTTATTATTTTCTTTTACAGTACTTGCTGATTGAGGTCCTTAAATGTTTCTCTCATCTGCTCATCCCAAGAGAACACTAGAGGATAAACATTAGTTGGTAACGAGGTCCTGACTCAGATGTTGTGAAGAAAGAGGGTTGTAGTTATGTATCTGAAGCAAGAGCTGTCTACATTGGGCCATGGTAGCCTCCATTTCCTAGATACTCTCAGGGCTGCTGCTGTGATAAATCCCTCCCACAATGAACCTCTTTACTTGGAGTATAATCTTAAGTATCTGAGAGCCATACAAGACTATTTTAGTGCTGGTCAGATATGTAGATCCAGGCAAAACGTTAAGTGTAGAAATGCCCTTCTGTGCTTCCCTTTCCTCATCGCTCTGGAGCAGCCTTCAGGCTTGGAATCAAGACCCTTAAGATTTGGAGAATCCTCTTGCCATACACTTTCCTGCCTGCCTGTCATCATTTCCACTGTCTCCTTAAGATCTCAAGTCAGACAGACAGCTCTTTGTAAAACTTTTCAGTTGTTGCCTATTATGTCACCTGGCACCTCGAGAAATCTCAGCCTCTAGCTAACTGGATAGACTGGTTTGTGCAGTTTGTTCAACTTTATGGGTCAAAGGGGATTCCACTTGAACTGGAGATCAGCCATGGTTGATGACTTCCTACACTTACCACTACACAGTGCACTGGTTATCTGCTTACTCACAGAGGCTTGATACAAGTTAAATTGTGTGGAGGCAACAAACAAGTTTTCTAACAACTCCTGTAAGAGCTATGTCATTTTAAAGATTGAGAAAAATCGCACAAACACGTATTAGGTACTCTCTAATTTAACAAAGTTGTAATTAGAAAATGAAATGCCTCCATAAAAAAAATAAGAAATAAGAGTCACAGATTTTTAGGAAATTCAATTACGCAAAAATGGGAGTGCTTTGATTTCAGTCCATCTACATGGAAAAAATACCATACCAGCAGCAGCGCGTGTGATTATCTCTAAATGCACTTTTTTTAATAAAAATATGTATTAAAATGATCTTTTAAGCTGTAGTCTTATTCAAAACTCATGGAACACCCATGATACTCTAATCAATTCACCTGAATATGATAAAATGAAAAGCAAACTGTTCTGGTTGCTTATAGGTATCAGGTTTGGGGTGGGTTTTATTTGTGTATGTGTGTGTGTTGGAGGTTTTTTTTAGCGACCCAATGACAATATAGAATACAACCAGTCAGGTGAAAAAAAAGCCCAATTTTTCAAAATAAAGCCATATTTCAGCTAATGTTCATGTCAGCACTGAGTAATAAGCAATATTCAGCTATAATTCTACAATTAGATTTTGTTGTTGTTGATGTTTCAGTCCTATCTCTAACAAAGAACAAACACAGGAGGAAATTTAACTGATGCTTACATGTATGCCTAATTGAAGTCTGGCAAGCCTTTCTGAAAGAAACACAAACACTTGAAGACAATCATTCTCCCCAAACTAGAACTCAACCATTTAAATCTCCTCTCAGTCTTTTCATTCCTCATTACTTTTAATTTATAGACACTGCCAGGTGCCAGCTGGGGCACAATACAGAAACAGTAAACTGCAGAAAATGGCTGTGTGTGATGTTTCAAGTATAACCAGCAGCTGAATCTGTTAGGAAAAAACCCAACAACAAATACCACAGAAAAGCAGAAGTTCATCTGAGCTTTTCACCCCAGATTTAATGTATCTGGTTAGTTCAGATAATAATCCAAGATAGTCTTGTAGGTGTAGTGCATTCTTGATGGAAGTCTTGGAACATTTTGCTGTGCACCTGTTTTTCACCCTATAAGTAATTTATTGCTTTATGTCAGCAGGTAACACTGTGTCATTTTGCTGTAAATTAATGGTTCGAGTTTTCAGCAAAAGTTAAAGATAGACTTGTGAATTATTTGTCCATTATTCTCTTTTTTTTTTTTTCTGAATTGAGGATCTAGAAAGAATAGGTTGAATTGCTTTTTAAGTGAATTTGGGCAAAGATTTAGGCTCTAAGAATGCCCTTTAAGTATCAGACCCATGTTTTAGCTTGTCAGAGCATTATATACCATGTTATGGTATTACAGGGGTTATCCTTCAAATTCGGCTAATATAGTGAAAAGATCCGTTGTTTCTGTTCTGGTGATAAACATTATTGAGAATAAAATCAAGCTTTGTTATTTAGTCTTCTAAAAACTTAGAAATACTCAGTTATTTAACTGTTCTTTTTAAGCAAGTCTCATAAAATGTGACTAATTATCACTACCTAACACAATTGCTCTAAAATCAGGAGCAGAGGTAGGAAGGTCCTTTCTGGCAGAAGTCTAATATTCAACTGCTACCTGATGCCTTGAGTGCTACATGTCTGCTCAGCCCAAACCAAGGACTGCAGACAAATAATCACATTAGTGCAGTTACCCCCAGATTTTGATTAGCTAGTTCTCATCTAATTCCAATTTCCTTTGAAAAAACTATTTTAATTTTTAAGAGAAAGTTTTTTTAATTACTAGTGATGAAGCTGGAAGATGCCTTTTTTTAGTGAAACTCTGTGTTACTCAACCTTCTGAATAATAAGGTTTCAAGTTTAAAGAAAGCTTTAAAAAGAAGAAAGAGTACTTTGATGCTTGTACTTCTTTTTGTAAGCAAAGCGTCCAAGAGTCTGTTGGTAGCCTGACTGTGCATCAGAGAGGAAGTAGGGAAGACTAAAACGTGGAATGACATGGACAACGTGTAATGAAGAATGGAAGGCCAATTTTTTAAGTGCTTTTTGGAAAAAAAAATCAATACATTATTGGTTGCTAAAATCTTCAGCTCAGGTCTAATAAAAAATGCTAAGTTTAGGGGAACAGGAAGAACACACACTGTGAGAAGAAACTCAAAATATATGTGCATTCTATAGAAGTTTCTGGTATCTGCAGACTTTGAACAGGTTTCACTATTAAGTCAGTCTTTTGCTAAAAATTCTATCTGTATTCTTGACACTGACTTGATTTTAGTGGTGTGGATTTTTTAAATGGGAAGGGAGGTGGGATTCTAAATGATACTTGACAAGTGAAAAATATTCAACTTAAATTGCCTTGATTACAAGTAAAATTTTAATTATGTCAATGCAGGTGATTAATGAAACAATCTACAATTCTAGATATTAGTCCATGTAACTGGAGTCCTAAGATCATGAGTTTTTACAGCTCAGAGTCATCAATACTCTAATAGTTTCTCAAATGGCCTGGGCCCAGGAATGTATTGTCTTTCCCCTGCTATTGTAACTGCAAACACTGTGGGCATGAGATAGAGTGTCCCATGTAGGGTCAGAAATCAGAGGGCATTCCCACTATAGCTATGCAGTGTTGTGAAGTCAGATCTGGACAAAATGTTAACATTGAAATGTTCTAAACTATTAATTTAGGCAATGATGTTTCTTCCTGATGGCACTCACTCAAATTGATTGTTTAGACTGCATGTAATTGTATTAAGAAGGATAACACAAACAATGCTAAAGGGCTCTGTTAAAAAGGGAGGAAAAATTTATGCACAAATGATTTAGCAACTAAACTACTTATTGAAGACATATTAAGCATATTTTTCTTAATTTATATAAATGGATTTTCAATCATTTGGTAATTTTAATGCTGGCTTTGTTTAATATTTTACAGGAAGCTTCAAAAGATGGTGCATGACATCAAGAAAAATGAAAGTGGGATAATAAACAAGTTCAAAAAGTAAGTTTGAAATGTCAATCCCTCATTTTATAAATTTGGGGAAGTTCATGTTGTAACATAGTCTATAGTACTTTAGTGTTGGGACCATGTTATTCTAGAGGGATGTACTCCAGTGTATGTGAAAAGCTTCAGTTCAGACATGCAGAATTGTCATAAGTTGAAGAACTGGACTCCAATGGCAGGTTTTGTTTGTAGCCCTGAAAAAAAATATTTGCGTGAAATGGACTTTCCTTGAGTGTTCCTTGGGAGTGGTCATCGCTTGTTTGGATGTGTGCCTTTCTCCTTAGGCAACTGTTTAGGCTACCTGCTGCAATTAAGTTTAATTTGAGCTCTACCTTGAACCAACTGGTCAGATATCATAGTTAAAATTCCCATAAAAATGTTAAATCCTCCTGTGTTTCATCCCCATAAAACAAAATCCAGCATTACCTAACATCCTTATTCCAACAAGAAGTGCTGTACAGCATGCGTATCGATGTTAACATGCATGAGAGTATCATAAAATATTCATGTGTATTTATACATCAAAAGAGATTCCAGTAATTCTGCATCCTTGTCAAATGAATACACTATTCACTGTTTCCAGTCAAACATCTATTTAAACCAATTCGCTATTTAGCACACTTTTTCCTAATGCAATAGCTCATTTGCATAGGACTGCCATTTGGATGTGATTTTCTCATTCAGATGGGTCATTGGCAACAAAAGTACAAAGTACTTTTAAAAGTTAATTAGTACACAGTACTTGAAGTGTTTCCAGGATGACCATATTAAATTCTAGAAATATAGCTCTTGTACATAAGAGGCACATAGAAACATTGTTTAAAATTGTTCTTAAAATTGTTCTTAAAAGAGTGACCACAGTGGCTCAGTTAAAGAAAGACTTCTTGTATATAAAGCAGTCAGTCGGCAGTTGAGAGAAGCAATAGGGTTCTGCCTGGTTTGGCTGTGCAAGAGCTCTGGAAAGCCAGGCTGGCTGAGCTATTGCCCCTGCTGCCAGCCCAGGCAGGGCTGATGTTTGTGGGGCAGCTGCTGTCCCTGGCAGAGGAGTGGGATGCACTTCTAGAAGTAGCAGTGATCTTCTGGCTCTCCCGTTCCCCAGGCAGAAGGAGTAACCTTAGGCTGCAAGCCCTGCTTTGTGGTCTCATTTTCACAGCTGTGTTTCTGTCCACAGACCTTAAGCAGGCTCTGATGGTAAAACACCTGACAGATTCTTGAGATAATTTTTTCCTTTACTCATCCTTCTTCGCTCTAACACTGCTGCAATTCGCAGTAAATCACAGTCACTTGGTGTAAGCACTTGTTATTTCCACACCAAGTGCAAAAGGAGAGTTTCCATTAAAATGACGCTATTTCAGCTACTTGGGTCTTTATTTTAATTTGGGTGGTTTTGTTCTTAGCACAGTGTGTACATAAATAGACCACTGTGTTCAGAGACCCATCTGCAAAAAAACTCATAGTTTCATCTAGGACCTGATCACAGGGAAGAGCTGGTAGGTGTCAAAAGGATTTTGGTGGGTTTTTGAAGGAGATGAGGGTTTGTTGCTGTAGTTGCTGCCTTTTAATAAAGGGTGGCTTCCTACTTCACAGTAGTAGTTTAAGTGTAATTAATAATGTTGCAGTGGGTCCAGTTCAAAAGCTTCAGGGAGGAAAGCAGATGGCAGAAACAATAGAAGTATCTCAAGTTTATAATCTGAGGCTGCAAATTGTCTCCCATAGTTGCCTGAATGTGAATTTTGCTTTTAATCAGTATTGCTCTGACTGTGTGTCCTTCCTAGAGAGTAAGAGGGGAAGGAAAGACAAGGGAGAAGTAACAAGAATCAAATGTAGTGGAAGCTGGGAAGGTTAGAGGTATCATCATTAAATGTCAGATACAAGATTGCTGATATAACACTGCAATTCTTTGATTCACTCAAGATGTAAAAAAACCCTATAAAAAAGTGCAGGCTTATAAAAACTCTTTTAATATATGACTGCAGCACAAAGCTCACATCTCAACTCTTCCAGCTATAAGAATACAAATTGAGATATAAAAAGCATATAATAATCTTTCTGATGATACTGTGCTTCATCTGAGTCATATTAATCTTTTCTGCAGTTATGATCAGAAATTTAGTTTCTAAAAAATTGAAGAATTTCTTACATTTGCATATGACTTCAGAACTCAAGTCTTGAACCCAGCACATAACAAGTTGCAATAAAAGCATGAGTTGACAATGCTGATAAGGATATGTACAAGAGATGCCAAGCCTTACAGAATTAGAACTGGCTGTATTGCTTTCAATGTGCCCTTTGGGGACTTTATGTTGAATTTTTTTTAAGACTTTTTCTAATAAACGTGGTTGTCCAGTTGACCATTACTCCATTTCAGTTACAGAATTATTTTATTAAGTGTTAGGGATCTAAACACAACTGAAGCCAGAATTTTTTTTTTAATTGGCTTTATGTAGCACAGATTTAGAATTTGTCTATATGCTGGAATAAAACCCATCAAATTCAAGCCTATTATAAGTAGAAATAATTTTAGGGAATTCAAATAGCATACTTGCTTATCTGAAGCCTAAAGTTGTCACGCTGATGTATACTGTAAGCCTCTGCTACTCAAATTGAAAGAGCAATCAGAGATTCATGAAATACATTTGACTTATTACCAGTATTTGTTAAAACACTTATAAAATCTGGATTGGCTTTTGATTATCCATGTGTTCTTCAAGGTGTGTGGAAAGCAGCCTGAGCAGTGGTGGAAATAGGAAAGAAACTGGCAGGTTGTTTCTTCATTACTTAAAAGTTCCTGTGTGTTCCCCATCCTGTCTCAGAATTTTCTGGCAGTAAAAATATTGGCCCCTGCAGGATAGCAGTCACCTGCTTGCCCTTAATCACTTGCAAAACTGTTTACAGTACTGGAGCCCCAGCTGCTGTGCAGATCATGCTGTCAAAGAGGATTATGTACCCAGGTGTAGAAGCAATGGGTGTAGCCAACACCAACACTGTATAAACAATGAGAGCTGGGGGCTCTCATTTTGGTAGGTGCTGATCTACTGGAAGGTCAGTTTACTCACCTTGTAGCAGTATCACATCCTATCAAAACTTCCTTCGCAATGCCATCAGAAATCATGCACTTGTAGTTGTGTGTCTGACTGCACACAATCCAAATATGTTCGTTTCTTGAAATCACATTTGCTGTGTGACCTAAAAAAAAAAAAAAAAGTAGATGCTTTACTCAGTTATTTAGTTGGGTAAGTCTTTACTTCAGATTTGTCTGGTCCGTTTTTCTATACAATTTATAACTCAGGCAGTAACTTCAGGCAGAAAAACAGTCATTGTGTTACTAAATGTTTCTTAAACATAGTTGCTTGCATAGCTGCAACTAGAAAACATCTGTGATCCAACTCTTGGCAGAGCGAAAAGTGGTGTTTTATGAACGAAACAATGAGAGAAATGTACTAAAATCAAGCTGTACCACACTTAGAAAACAGCAAAAAATATCATACATAATTTTAACTGTTATTCTGAAGAAACATGAAAGTCACTGTGTAGCTGGATAGAATGTTTTGAGTGCTGGGATTTTATTAATGTAATAAAATTTCATCAAAGTGAAGATGAATAAATCACAGCTAGATGCCATTTCACTGTCATAGCACATTGTAAAGAAAATATGTGAAAGAGTAGTAATAAGACTTTCCAAAAAAGCTTTCAGATTAATTTTATCTTATACAGTTGCCACATACTTCCAAATCTACAACAAACTATTCCACTAGGTCATGAGAACACAGTTCAGGAAAAGTTTATCTGTCAGCTAGATCACACCTTTTGGAACTCTGAAAATGTTTTTGGCAAAGTTTGATTAATCACAAGTGTGATGATCTAGTGCACTTAAAACTAATATGTACTATAAATATTCAACTCAGTAAAGATTATCAGTATAATTTTTGTAAAAACTATTAAGTTTAAATGGTCTCTAAGAAGGGAGTGGACTTAGTACAGATTTAACAATAGAAAAAGTGAAGGACTTTTGAAAACATAGAGTTTTCAGGCGCATCTTAAATGCTGGGGGTGTGAGCAGAAACAGTGGGGAAATGCACCTGTGGGAGAATTAAGTTCAACGCAGAAAGGACTACTACTACCTATGTTTGGTTACTTTTCTGGGTGTAGCCTGTATAAATAAGTGTTGCTAGAGCAAAACACCCAGACCTGTCCTGCAGTTTATTTAAAAATCCTCCATTTAGTATAGGAAACCAAAAACATGCTATGAATTCAAAGTATGTAATTAATATTTGCAGTATCCACATGTGAGAAAAGTTAAGCACATGCCTTAATGTTTTAGTGTGCTATGGGGGGCAATCTTGGAATACATTGTTTTAAGATGGAATAGCTTGTTCTCTTTCAGGTTGTTATGAACTTCTGTACCATGCATTTTGTTCATGTGTGAGAGGCATTTATACCCCATTGTATGAAATGTCTCAAATGCTACTTGGTTATTTGTAGAAGCTAAAATGTATATACTAGGATTAAATACACTTAAATGTGTATGCTAAATTATATAGCATTTGGTTCTTTCAGTGCTTCCTCATTTACTTCAGGGACACAGGACAAAGTCAATTGCCATTTTGCGAGCATTTGTGTGGATAATGATGTCAGAATCTGAAATAGCTACGTAACCACGCCTTGGCATAGCGTTATGTCTTTTGAGCTTGTGTTGTGGTTTGCACATTTGGTAAAGTTCTGGCTCCCGTACAGTGAAGCTCCAGCTGACTTCAAAAGAGCCTGGATTACAGATCTGACATTCAATAAATACAGGGAGAATTACTTTTTAAGTGGATTTGAATTTTAGAATAAATAACATATTTGAAGAGATTCTAGCAAATGTAGATCTGGCCATGAACTGTTTCAGCTCTGTGAAAGAAACATAATTTCTTTTCTTCTATTGATATTCAGGTTCCAAAATGAACAAGTGGCCTTAATTTGCAAAACTGGGAAAGATACTTGGGATCGGTATGCCATTTCATAGCTGCACAATAGCACGATAGGCTGCTTAGACACAGACTTCTGTTCTGTACTTCATACGCTTTCGTTATAACGTATTGACATTTTCTCTCAGGGCCACTGCCAGGATTTACAGGGCCTGGGACAAAGTATGGAAGCCTTCTGCTTAGCAGCTTACAAATGTGTAATGTTGCTTAAGCCACATACTTTACACCATGACCCAGACAGCCTCTTACTGTTGCCTCAGTTCCAGTATTTTCAAGTCTCACCATTTCTGAACAACTCATGATAGACATGTTGCAAAGTACATCAATAGATCTTGGTCTACCCTCCCTAAGACCTGAGATGTGCCCTGGCAGTGGCCCTGGGTTTTTCTTTCTAACATGGCTGTGCTAACCTGGAGGAAGACAAGAGCAGGGCTGTTGAGAATGCTTTTTCATTTGCTGTTTGTACACTGTTATATTATACTGAAGGAAGTTAAAATCTTGGAGGAGGCAACTATCCATCATTAGTGTTGTTAGTAACGAACAAAGCAGGTTAATATTGCAAAAATAATCTCCCTGGATTGGTTTTTATTTTTTGGGGTAGGGGGCGGTTGGGCTTTTTTGAGCTTTAGCAATGCCTGCACCATTTATTCATTGATTCATGCATGTGCATGGGGTGATTTTGGTGACTATCTGAACAACAGAATTCCATGAATTCAACTCAGAAGTAGCCAAAGCCTTTCTTAAAACAGATAGAAAAAGTTTTTCAGTTGATGTGTTAGTGCCTCCACCCAGTTACAGTGGTATCTGAACAATGACACCTGAGCAGCGTGCTCAGGACTTACATATTGAGTGACAAATTCTTGCGGTAAAGCAAAATTCGTAGACATCACTATTGCTCAGAGATCACAAGAAAGCATTTTAAATTCTTCGTAGACTTTTTTTTTTTTAATGACTTGCTCATTTTTGCAAATGAATTTGTTAGGACCTGACTGAAGAATGAGTGAAGCCATCAATTCAGTGGACAAAGCTTCAGGTCCATGGTGGGGTCTCATCAGTGCTATAGGGGAGCTGTCAGACAATGCTCAAAAGTCACTTTGAAGAGTCATTTTTAAAGCCATTAACTGTGTTAATGTTTTATCTGGCTACAAAAAGCAAAGGCTTGGGTTTTTTCCTCTTCAGAGGCATCAGTCTGGCCTCTGGTGTCACCCAGGCACCGTTCCATCTTGACCTTAAGCCCAAATTCTTCTCTTTTGTTGCAGAGAGAATAAAATAATTCAACTGACTGTAATTCAGTGTCTTTGGACAGCTGCAAGTTAGCAAGGAGGGGTATATATGAATACCCACGTATATACATGTATACATATATATTACATATATGTGTACTTCTGCTTGCTAAATATATCTACATGCACATGCATATACATATGAATATGTATAGCCATAAATATCCTTTCAGTCTTTCTACGAATTTTTTTTTTATTCACTTGGTATTACAAATGCCATTATAACAGTTTTTACCAAAAAAGGGACATAACATCATAAAACAATAATAAGTAGAAACAGAATCTGGCACTGAGAGACCTGGTATACATTTAAACATTAATCGGCAAATAAAGTACATGCAAAATTATAGTTCTAAAAATACAAATGGAGAGTGCTACACCACTTTCTTCTGCCATACTCTTAGCAAAACCTCTTTGAACCTGAACAGATTTTCATCTTCCAATAGACATGCATTTATCTCTATCCCCTACGTTATCTGTTTCTGCATTGGAAATGAAGAGGATAGGGGTGAGCAAGGAAGCTGTTCTCTCAACCTATGTTCTAAGTGAAAAAAAGAATTAAAATATCAGATTATATTTTAATATCTTATCTGTTTCTAGCTTTTCAAAGCATTCTTCTACAGCTGTTTGCTAAGCGTCTGTGATAGTAATCTGTATTTCCTCAGCTGCAGGTATCTTTTGTTATCAGCTTTTTTATGTGTCTGGCTAAAGCTCCCTTCTACTGAATGTCACTTATGAGATCATAAATGTAATAATTATCATTTACAGCCTTAAAAAAAAGCCACCACCAAGTCTACCACAAAGGGATTATGCTACAGGTAAGGCTGTATTAATGTAAATTTAAACTGCATGTCTATGTAAATTTGTTATCTATATGCCTAACAGTATTTCAGTTATACACTGCCTCCTAGTTTGTTTTTAATGAGAGTACAGAGTACCATTAACAACAACTCTGAAGGTAGTTCATGCCTCTGAAATGAAAGGCTAGCAAAAAATAGCAAGTAGCTACTCTTTCAAAATCAGTCTTTGTACGCAGCCTACTGTAAAAAATGGAGGAGAATTTGCATCCAGTCCCTCCCTGGTAGAAACTGATGTGAAAGTAAGTAGGGAAAAAAAAGAAAAAATGGATCATCACAGATTCAGAATCTTAATACTACAAATGTAATACTGACATCATGAATTACCTTAGAGGTAGAACTCTACTTGCTTATCATACAGCACTGCCCACAGACTAGTTCATGTTAACAGCCATCTTTTTAAGACAATAACTGAAGCAAAGAGAATAGAGTTTGGAAGTTATCAGATAAGAGTACCATGTTTAACATCAACATTTGTAATTAGTGTGCTGTCTTGGAGCTTTATCCAAGAAAGTGCAGAGCCCAGAGGTCAGCAATAGTTTCATTATCGAGAAATTGTCACCCCTACTTAAAAATGAGATGTATTAGCAGGACACTGTGGGGAAAGTACATGCTCTGCTGTTTGGACCATGTGCAGTTTGGCATTTTCTAATGCTTTCCCGACAGCCCTGAAACAATTTGTCAAAACCAAGCAAGACAGATGTGTTGCTTCAAACTGTTTAGGAAATGATTTCCACTCTTTTTAAACTGAATATGATAAGTATAGATTGAAAAAACAATCTAAGATAAACATCTATGTTCACTCTTCCATCTCCTTAAATAATCTTATGTTTGGTTTAGAACATGCAGACAATGAAGAGGAACAATGGTCAGATGATTTTGTAAGTACATAATTTGGGGTAGTTGAAGGTTACTGTAGCAACAAATTAGCACAAGAAATAATAAGAAAAGTTTAGTTTTGAATCATCTAGTTGTGGTTGAACTTAATACTACTGAAATATTACCTTATTTGTCACATCAGCTTTATTCACAAGTAGCCACTAACTTTTAGATACCTCAATTTTTTTACATTCAACTTAGAAGTACTTTCAGAAGCACTGTCAATGGCAGCCATGGACACTAAGCTTTTTGGATAAGTAAGCACATGGCATCAATTTGAGGGACTTCTCAAACTGAACAATAATTTCAGAAACGAGTAAGATCTTTTACTTGGTGGAGGGAGGGTAGGAAGGGTAAGGAGAGGAAAGCCACTTCTTAAAAATGAAAAACTTCTGCTAAGATTTTAGAAAGCACCGGAATGAAGCAAGCCATGGCCATCAGCCATGTAAAGTGATGATGCAACTATCAGCCTGAAGTGACCAGTTTGCCTCTAGAGTTAGATCTTGATTACCATTTTAATAGGAAAGGGAGAGGAAGTGACAAGACACAGCAAGAGTCCCAGCTGGAACTAGAAAGGAACTGTCCTGGGAAGGGAAACAAGCTGTTGATCCATAATTTGAAGACAGCTCTTGAGCTGAAAGGACTCCTTGGAGATCACAAGAAGACAGGGAGCAGGAAGTTCCTGGGAGTAGCAGAAGGGGAGGCAGGTGGAAGCACCCATCTGTTTAAAGAGGAAGCACTAAAAGGGAATGTAATGTGTCCTTTCAAGGATAGCTTGCTGTAATTTAGTTATTGTACTCCTGCAAGGATATTTGTGTTGTACATTGCTATGAAGCCATAAATATGTTATGAGATGAAAAATGGGAAGTTCTGTCTTTCTAGGACAGTGATTATGAAAATCCAGATGACCACTCTGACTCTGAGATGTATGTGGTCCCCAGTGAAGAGAATCCTGATGACAGCTATGAGCCACCTCCAAGTGAGAAGGAGAAAAAGAAGATTCCCTCTGCTTTTCCTATTTCTAGGGGTGAATATGCAGGTAGTTATGGAACAGTTGACTATGTCAGCTTGATAATTGCTTATTGATCAGTACCAGAAGAGATGTGGCCTCAAATAGACTAACCTGTCCTTTCCTCAAGAGTTTGCTTTTAACTCTGACAGTCAGGTCTTCAGCATTCAGGGGTAGGGGTTTTTATTATTACAGCATGAAACAAGTTAGTATTGATGGTAGTTAAGTTTAGAATTTTAATATAATGTGTCCTAGAGACTTTAATATACATCTACTAACTACAAAATGCAAGCAAAGTTATGGGAGAGATCACTAATTTGGCTCCAGATTAATCCACACATGAGGATGCAGGAATTCATATTAAAGATTGGGCACAGAAGACTAGACAGGTCCCTTCTTAGTCTTCTCTGTTTCTCCAATCATTATTCCAAAAACAGAGGACAAAGTAGCCCAAATATTCATTTCATATTGTCCTTGAAGACTGGTACTGAGGATGATAAATATCCTGAAAAACAGGACAGGATCAAGATTTTATTTACATCCGTCCAGTGTAGAGGCATTTTTTTTCTTTCTGTTTCCATTATTTTCAACCATGGAAAGATTGCATTGAAGTGAATGAAAGTTAGCTTCAGATAGATGAAGATTTGAGACGTGGAAAAGAAACGTTGACATGATGCCTGCTTTCACTTTGGTATGATACAAGACTGTTACTGGTTGCAGAATATTTATCAAAGTGCTAAAATACCACATATGTATTCACAGAAGTTTATCAGCACTTCATTTATGTGTTCTTTGTAAAGGCAGTTGTTAAAATGACACCCCAGAGAACCTGGCATAATTTATGTTCCAGTCCCACCCTTTGTGCTGTGTAACAGTTGTTTTTCTCATATGTCAGATACGTTCTTTCTCACTTCCTATCACCAAAGTTCATACCAGCACAGGACATACTAACAAAAGGACCACCCAGCCATGAGGTGTGTGAGCTGTGTAACTCCTTGTTTCCCTAAGGAGTTAAACAGCTGTTCATAGAACAGTCAGTGCCTAAGTAACCTCTGCAGCCTGTTACAGAGGAGTGGGTTGCCACCTTGAGCAATGAAGGTGGCAGGACCAGTTTACACACAAGTCTCAACATCAGGCCCAGCTATGCTCAGGTCTGCCTTTTGACCTGAGCTGCAGTCACAAGTAAAGACTTGTTTGCACAGGTAGTAGAAGACAGTGCAGAGGCTAATGTGTAATTTTTCCTAAAATTGTTGGTTTTTTCCACGTTAAAAGACAATCGCACCAGTCACCAGCAGCTTCCTCCCATCAACAAACCTCTTCCAAGTACACCCAGTCCAGCCATGTCCAGACCAAAGAAACCATGTGTGCCATCCCTGCCACTGCCTTCTCCTGCTGCAAAACCAAAAGTACCACCAAAGCCTAAGGAGTGTAGTGATGATGAGGTAAAGTTTACATATATACTTGTTTTGGATGTTTAAATGTTTGATGACTCCAGACCAATAAGAGAGATCAGAGCAATGCCATGACCTGGTCCCTTTCTTAGCCTCTATGGACAAATCACTTTGTACATCACAGTGACCTGTGAGTACCATACTGATCCCTGGGGGATATCTGCCTACTCTGAGTATCAAGGAGACTCTTTAGACCACTAAGTAGTTTCTGATCATCCGTAACAAGCTGCAGGCAGTGAGGAGACAGTAACCTCAAAGACTACTCCAGGACCAAAGGGAAGGGAGGAGGGCTTTCATCCACCAGTCTAGAACTGGAATTATTTGGTAAAGGGCTTTCAGTCTTTGGGAATTCCATCCACATAGGATGATAAATGTCTGAAATAGCAGTCACTGTGAAATGACAACTGTTGTAAACTGCTGCCAGGGCTTCAATCCCAACAGTTTGTTGATATGATGGAGGTTTAACTGGTAGATTTTTGTCCTGCATTTCTCACAGGATAATTACATTGTGCCAGTGGACAATGATGACGATAACTATATTGAACCCACAGAAAGCAGCATGTCACTACCTACAAAATGTGAGTTTTAGTCATTTAAGCTAATAATTACTGTGTTATTAGGAACAACAGTGGAAAAAAATTGATCAAATTAATGTCTCTTTCTAGGGTTCAAAGAGTGGAGATGCAGCTATTAGAGAAAACACAGTCTGTAAAAAGGCATTTGGCTCATGACCAGGCCAAGGAAAATTATTTTTAACTTTATTATTTTTAACCTTATTGGAAGCCATGTTTAATTTCTGCCTCTCTCAGTTATTTCAAAGTCCAGCCCTTGTACAACCAGGCATGTGATATCCCTTCCTCATCCAAGGGAGCTACAGCATTAAAATTCTCTGTTTACTGAAGTGCCTCAGGAGAAGAACAAACATTTTTAAACATTTCAGATAAAGACAGACTTTGATTGTATTTTTTTATTTTGTTTTTAATCTCACTATTTGTAGTATATTTAGCTGGAGAGTGAAATTACTACAGCCCAAAGGTGAAAAGCAAACAGAGAACACTAAGTAATTCTGCTCTCTGACATCACTGACAGTATCAAACCTACTCAGGAAGGCATGAATACTGAATAATGTTTCCCTTTTAAAATAAGAGCTGCTTTCTGACTCGATTGATTTATTCAAGGTCACACAAAAAGGCTACTACTTGGACCTACTTAATATTCATTCTTATTGTTAGTTTGTTCCATTGTTAGTTTGTTAACATGTGTATATGTATAAATAGATGTGTACACGTACATAAATATATATGTATATACACACACATGCACAAGTGTGTATGTACATGAATAAAATATGTTTTTAGCTCCTGGGAACAGATTTATGAAGACTGTAACAAAGCCAGGCCCCCCTACTTCTCCAAAGCCTTCTCTTACTTCTGATATGCAAGGTATGTGGAGTTTCTATCACTGTTAAAAGAAAATAATCTAAGACTGAGGAATATTAAATTACACTTAATATATTCACAACACAAACCTTATGACATACTTCAGTAAAACTTAAATATGTTCCTCTTTAGTTTTTCTCTGTTGTAGCAGTTGCTTTGTCTAGCTTGAATAGTAAATCCATTTTAAGCATGAATAAAAGTAGAGCAACTTCTTTGCCCAAATTAATTCATTTTTAGTCTTTTGCTTTAGTGGAGGAATGCAAATAGATCAGTACAGCGAAAACAATTATAGGCTCGGTATGTTAGTAATCCCATTTCACTACAGGAATCAAGACTTTGACCACATTAGGATTTAACCATATAGAAGTTCCTTATAGGCTGATGTTTTGCTTGTCCTTTGTTCCCATTTAAGTTCTATAAAAAGCAATTTATTTGGAAAAAAAAACCCAAAAGCAGAAGCAAATAAGAGGAATCCTATTTGCTTTTTTAAGTGCAGATATACTTGTTTAATCTTCCAGTGCCAACTCAGAGTTGTTTTGTATCCTCATTATCCCATTAATTGCTTAGAATGTAACCTTTACAGACTTATGACAGTTCTTTAAAAAGCTTTGCATATTCATTATTAATACGTTTAGCTTTCAAGTTGCAAACTACAAGTCATAAACTAAAATTCTTTCTGAATGATTTAAGATTTCGTGAGTTACTTTCCAGACATTTTAAAATGCCCTTTTCAATCTCAGCCTTTCTGTAAATCAGTGTCGAGCAACAACCAGCTCCTGACAGACGTTACTAAAAATAAAACATCTCCCCCTGGTGGGAACTCAAACACTTCAGCACAACAAAGTGAGGAAGCCTGACATGAAATTTTTTGAAATAGGGTTCTATTTTCATTGAAGAAACTGAACATAGATAAGAATGCTTGTGGGTTTTGCTCTTAACATCTACGAATTAAAACATACCTGTGTGTCAGAGAATGGATGCTGGCCATGCAAATGCACCAGCTTGTATTTATGATTCACCTATCTCTTCCTCCCTGAGAGTCAAGGAAAGGCTAAATGCTAGCACAGGTGTGATAACACATTTTTTCCAAACTGTCCCGTGTTTGTACAACACAAACATTCACCTTGCTTTGGGGGGAAAAAGAAAGAAAAGCAAAACAAAAAAAAAGGTTGTGGGGTGGGTGGAAACTTCATTAATACAGTGACTGTTTATCAGAATTCCTGGGACATTTCCTGAAGTTTCCACTAGAAGACCAGGGATTTTGCTACTCCAGAGTTTTGGAGGCAGATTCAAGTTCTGAGCAGATTCTCCAAGTTAGTTTTCCAGAGTCAGAAGTACAACTGATACAAAACAGATCAGTTTTTCTGGTAACATGCAGTATGTTTTTGCTAACCAAAGAACACTTTTTTTTTTTCCTTCCTGTCCTACAGAAGTCTACGAGGTTCCTGAAGAAGAGGTGAGGCCTTTCTGTAGTATGACTTGCATTGCCCTCAGGCAGGGTACAAATATGATTGCAAAAAAAGATTATCAGTCTTTCAAGGGGAAAAATGGGAACAAATCTCTGTCTGTGCTTAAAACTTTCTGACACTCCCTTCTCAGAAAAGCTGGCAGACCAATGCTAAAGGTCTGCAGAACAGAGTAAATGGGAAGGGGCGGAAATTTCCCAGTCCTGTGTGACAGTTATCCAGTCTGGGAAGCAGCAGCCTAACGGGATGCTTTTCAGAAGCAGAACTGCAGCAGAGGAGCAATGACAGCTCTGACACAGTAATTTTCTTCCCACTTGCTGGTACTGACATAATATGGCCAAAGCAGATTTACTGGTGTTGAGTTCTTGCCTCTCCCATCCTAGTGCAGATTACCAGACCAGGCTCTAATAGAAATCTGTACCACAATGCAAAAATATTATCTTGATGTGGTAACATAAATAGGATCATAGAAATGTATTTCATGAAATCAAAAAGTGACCAAAAAATTCAGTGCATTTTCTCTTACAGGAAAAACCATCACCCCCACCACCACCGGTAGCCAGGTAACCCATTGCTGTGAATGTTTGTGCATTATTTAAAACTTGTCAGAAAATATATTTTCTTATCTAGATACAACATGTTTAATAATTCTTTCTCTAGAAGATATATATGCAGTAAATATCTCTTTAGATTATCTATACAAAAATTATCAACCATTTCTATGTTAATTTCAATAACCCAAGCACAACACATTAAAAAGAAATACCTCTTAAGGGTACTTTCTAGAATTTTGAGGGGGTAGGGGAGGAGAAAGAGAGGTTTTCTTTGTATTCACAATTGTTAAATATAATTTTCATTTCTTAATGCATGTTTTATTACTAGGTTCACTAAGCCACTTCTGTCTATGCCTGCTAAGAATACAGAGCACTCCCACATGCACAGTATGACCAGAGAGCCACCTAAACAGGAGACTTGCAGGTAAGTCAACAGCAGCTTAGATCAATAGGAAATATTAGCAGAGAGAAGATTTTCTCCTCTCTAATGTGTAGCCTTCTGACAACAAACAGTTGTCAGGACACTCACTGGGACAAGATGAGAACCGAAAGCTCTAGTTTTCTTGTGAACTTCTGTAGTCAAGCCAGTTTGCCACATGGATAGTATTTTCTGGAATATCCCTTTAGGGATCCAGTGCAGGGACAAAATATCTCTGAAAGCCAGTTTAAAGTTCTATTAGCCATCTCTGCACCTTTGCAAATGCAATGTTTTTGCAGGGGCACAGGATTGCTTGTAAAGAAACTGGACATGGTAAATCCACAATTTGTATTCCAAGCCTCTGGAGGAAAAGAGAAAAAGTATACTTGAGCATGCAGCCTACTTCACTCCTGTGTCCCTAGAAGTGTAGGAAGCTGTTTCATAACCACTGTCTCATCTCTAGCACGTTGCTTTACAAAATAGGCCAGGACAGAAGCTATTCTAGATTAGTTCCACACCAAGAGCACAGCATCACCACAGCCACTGCAGCAGTGCATAGCTGGAATTAAAACTATTTACAGGAGACCTCCTTCTCTCTAGATCTTGAAAAGCATATCTGAGCCAAGAAATTACACAAATAAATCCTACTCCATTTATTTTGTATATTTTTCAGAAATATTTTGTATATTTTTCAGAAATATTTTGCCTCTTCCCAGAAGTCGTCTTCATCCAAAACCAGTGAGTAATCAATGGACTACTATAAAAGAATATGTTAAACTTGGGCTGTGTTTTATACATAAATAGATGGATGCTTTTTATTATCTGGATTAAGTAACAGAAACAGATGACTCAATGTCATATTCATCTAATATTGTAATTGTTGCTATTAATCTTTTGGACAAAAGAGCATTGGACATCTGTATTGATCCAAGAAAAAGTTTAAATGTTTTAAGGGATATATTTTTCAGTCCACAAAAATAATTTCTTGTCTTACAAAATAGCAGCTGAACACCAGGAACATTAAGTAGTAAAGGGCAATTTTGCCCAGTCTGAAGTACCTTCCTTGAGCTTCATTCCTCTCAGATGATGAGTGATTAATGCTTTCTGAAAATGGAAACATTCTAAAATGTCAGACTGGGTAGTCTGAGTAACCAGTATCACTAGAAAATGCAGTCCATGAAGGGCTAATTACAAGCTTTGGGTTCCTAAGGCTGTGTTTCAGTCAATTCTCTTCTCCCTCTACTCTTGTCCCCAGTCTGTCCCTTCCACTGTGCTGGAACAAAGGTTTTTTGAAGCAAACTACTTGGAAACTTGTCTAACTGCAGAAATGAGCAAAAGCAAATGCACAAAAGATTCTTTTTCAGCCAGATTAGTTACATAAATTGTTTTGCACCATAGCTCTACTCACAGTTGTTCCAGCACAAAAGGGTGTGCATGAGGAGCCAGCTATCACGAAACAGGGTGACAGTAACTGCATCAGTAGCTGTGCCAAAAGCCATGTGCATCAAACTGCATCCTTGCCCAATGGTCTGAGTTGTACCTAAGAAATAATCAGTCTACCAATAGCTATATAGAGAAATTAGACACTCAAAATTAGGAATTTGGGGTCATATCATAGGATTAGATGTTATGGTAACATAATACAGGTGGTATATGAGTCTTATTTTCAATTTCTATATATACCAAGTATTTTGTACGTACAACACTATCAGCATTTTAGTTTCCCTTCTACCCCATCACAAAGTTCTTCTCATTTAGATCTATATCCCATGGGATGCTGAACAATTCCCAAGTGTTGCCAAGGTAACGATTTCTCTTCTATGAAACAGTTTCTCAGCTTTTCTTACCAATAGAAGATTAGGGGGAAAAAATGCTTCTGAAGGGACAGTGTTGGACACAAATTCCACTATCTGAGTAGTACTAAGAATACTACTCCTGCTTCACAACAGACTCAAGTGCCATATTGCAGCTGAAACCTCTCCATTAATGTATTGTCAGAGCTTAGCTCTGAGATGGATATCATCCCAGCTTTGCAGAGAGTAAAAGGAGACTATCCTTTTGCTGGAGCCACATACCGAGTTAGTTACAGCTCCAAGGATGAAGCTCCCAAACACTCATCTGTACCATGGATGTATTCAGCTCCTCGGTCATTGCAGTTAGCCAGTTTGTCACAAGAGTCAGCCTAGGAAAGAGTTAGTCAGTGTAGTCCAAATTTTAGGGTCTTTGCTTGTTGTGTAAGTGGTCAGCCCTTACAGATTTAAACAAAAAACATGGTAATGAGCATGATGTTTGTCAAATGCCGTGTTGTGCTTTTCCATCCCTGACTATGCACACTGACAAAGCAAACAATAACTGAAACATCTGTTAACTGCTCCCATTCAATCCACTGTCAACACCAACCAGCACTGATCATGTGCACAGAACTGTAACCCTTGTTCCTCTCAAAGGCCCTGGCTGACTGGGAAAATAATTTCTCCATGTTTCACTTCCCCAACTGTTGCATGATGGATTACACCTCTCCAACAAGAGAATGGATGCATTTTTGACCAACATTAGTGAAAAGTCATTAACTGGGAAGATGAAAATGGACAAATTAATACCTGGTGCCTCTTTGAAAGGTACTTATCATATGGGAGTCCGATTCCCAACAAGACAAGAAATGAGGGCCAAAAGAAAGCATCTCCAGAAGAAGCCAGAAAATTAGTTGGATTGCTTCAATTCTAGCATGGTGTAAAGACAGTTTACTCAGTTTCCTTCATTCAATGGAAGATGTGTTTTTAGTATATTCAAATCTGCTGCAAAATTTCTGTCTTCCAGCTCAGAAATTAAACATGAACCAAAAGGTCTCGCTGCAACGTTCAGGCCCAATTTTCTCAACACTACAGGCAATCTCAAGATTATTAAAAAGTTTGAACTTTGATGTTTGCTTTAAATTTTCCAAATTGCATCCTAAAAGCTGATTAAAAATATTATGGATCCTATATGCATTCTGTACAAATATTGCTTTAAAAATCACTACAGATGCCAAAGCCATATTGATTATTTATGCACTTCTCATTAAAGAATCGTTAAGGTTGGAAAAGACCTCTAAGATTGAGTCCAACTATTAACCCAGCCCCACTGTGTTCACCACTAAACAATATCCCCAAGTGCCATATCCACGCACCTTTTGAACACTTCCAGGGATGGTAACTCCACCACTTCCCTGAGCAGCTTGTTCCAATACCTGACCACCCTTTCAGTGAAGAAATTTTTTCTAGTACCTAATCTAAACCTCCCCTGGTGCAACTTGAGGCCACTTCCCCTTGTCCTGTCGTTTGTTACCTGGGAGAGCAGGCCGACTCCCACCTGGCTACAACCTCCTTTCAGGTAGTTGTAGACAGTGATAAGGTTCCCCCAAGCCTCCTTTTCTCCAAGCTAAACAACCCCAGCTCCCTCGGCCACTCTTTGTAAGACTTGTGTTCTGGATCCTTCAGCAGTTTTGTTGCCCTTCTCTGGACATGTTCCAGCACCTCAATGTCCTTCTTGTAGTGAAGGACCCAAAACTGTACACAGTAATTCCTTTTTTAATTCCTTCATATCAAATCTAACCTATTTTTCCATTACAGGACCACGAAGCAAACAGTAATGATGAGAGTAAGTATTCCATATTGAAAACATGGCAATATGAGAGGGATTGATATGCCACTGGTGACCTTAATATAGAATGCAGTGTAGTGTGTCAGTGTAAATTTTATCTGTAATGGTGAGCAACAAGCAAGAAGTGTTACTGAACTGTTTTCTAATATAATCAGAGTGAAAATATGTTAAGATAAAAATTAAACCAATGGATATTTTTTACTTTTATTACATTAACACTAAAATGGCAGTGGGGAAAATCCACTGTTCAGATACAGCTAATATTGTGTACTTAATATGTTGCTTGCATCTCTAGGTCAGAGATTCAATAACACACAAGAATCCAGATTTCTGCCTGGCGCAACTCCATCTCCATTACCAAGGGGCCTGTGAGTAAAAAATAATAAAACTACTTCTCTGATGGGGAGTGCTTTAATAGGTATATTAGGAGCTAACTCCTATCCTTGCCTATGGCAATGGGAATTCAGGAATAATTTTTATTGCTGTTTGAGACAGATATCCTAACTAGGGAAAGGCAAGCTAATATTTTGTTATTTCCAGAGGAATACTGTTTGTGTGGCGTAACCCTTCACTGCCTGCCACTTATGGCAGATGCTGGCTTGCTTAATTTAATCTCATACTGCAGCACTAGCATATGCAAGCCTAGTTGTGTTTGTCATTGAAGTTCTTCTGCCCCACCCAAGTTGTCATCTTATGTACTGGACAGACTGTAGGTTCCTTGCATAAATACCTTTCCCAAATACCCATATTACATCTGATACCCTAATTCTTTTCTTTTTCTTTTTTGTTTCTAAGTCCTACAGCTATCCAGTGCATCCCATCTTAGAAACACCTTGAGAATCAATGAAACTGATCCTTAATTGCTAAATGAATTCATGTATCTCCCAAGTAACCATACTCTTTTTTTGTTTTCTTTTTCCTCCAATCTTCAGCAAGAAAACTTCTAATGTGGTAAATTCACCAGTAAGTTGACTTGTAATTGCATAACCAAATGATAATTTTATTAAATTTTTAATGTACTGTAAAACCTAATTTTATCATATGTTTGGGTACAACTTAAATGCCTAAAAAGAAGAGGGGGAAGAGAGTTATAAAGAAAAAAAATATTTGGGTGCTATTACATGAACTAAGAGCAGTGAGAAAGCTCAAGTGGGAAAGTATTTTGATTAAAGGGATATTTGGATTCAATACTCCAGGATGTAACAATAAACACAGTGCAAGAACTGAATAAATGAGAAATAAATGGGAACACAGCCCATTCAGAAGTATTCCTGGAAATATACACGGGGCTGCCTATGGGGAACATGAGTTCATTGTAAGAGTGACAGGTCAAGAAATATGCAGGATTTTACCAAATTTGTTAGAGGTTTTTCAGTAAGTATTTCATCATTAGAAAAATATTGCAAAATCTCTAGTGGGAGAAAGTAAGACGACTGGTTAAATTTTCAAATAAATTAATTTGAAAAGTGTTTCAAAACTGGCAGTTTATTATCATTGTTTCAAAACGAAAAAAAATTGAAACTGGAAGGTTGGTTGAGTTTTTACTGTGAGCTAAACTGATAGTTTAACTTTCAGTAAAAAGAAAGCTGTTCAGAAATTTGTGAGCATAGCTCAATAAGGGATAGGCTCTTCATTTTTGGGCCTGAGATAAGAATGAATCATTTGTTACACCACAAACTTACCAATGGAAGTTTAAAAAAAAAAAAAAACCACACGTTTCCAGATTTTACTTTGTCTGTCTATTTATACCCACAAACTGGGATTCTTTCCAAATCTATTTTGCAAAATCCTGAGCTTCAAGGTTGTACAATTAAGAGGCTCTTCAGAGAATGGCTGTGTCTCTGCCTCCTAATTCCTCCAGGATGTTGTCAAGTCTACATGTAAACTAGTTCACAAAAAGTATAAAAAGATAAACATTTGCTGTACTAGTGACATGCCATTTAATATTTGGTGTCCTTCTGTTTTATTGCAGAAACCATGTTTACCTTCCAGAGAGATCTTAACTGCAAATGAAGGTAAATTATCTCCACTACTGTGAAAAAGTTGACATTTATCAGAATTAAATTTCCTTCTTATTAGAAACATGAAACAAATAACACCGCATTCAACTTATTCTGGTTTTTTGAGGGGTGTTTGGTTTCAGCCGTTTCAGACTGGATCTGGCCAGCCTGAGCTGCACTGAGTATCATTGTTCTCTGAAATCAGTCACAGTAAAACTGTTGAGGTTACTGGCAGGGTAATGTAGGACAATAATGGACCAGAAATGTGCCATATAGCCCTCTGAGTGGCAAGGAGGGAAGGGAGGCGAATCACTCAGAACTCAGCCAGAACCACCTCACACGGAGCCGACTCCTGGCACAGGCACAAACTGCGTCCCGTCTCTGCTCCTCCAGGCAAAGGCTCAGCAGGAGCTGCTGTCTGACACCAGGGTGAGATGCAGCCAACCAGCCGAGCTCTTGCAGGCAGCCTGCCCCAGTGTCCTCCCCCTGTGTCACACAGCTCGCCTCTCAGAAGGCAAGTGTCCCACTGCGACCCTGCAGGCACCCACAGCACAGCTATTTGCCGAGAAATTTGGTGGTATGCCACTAATTAACAAAGAAAGTAGCGTGATAGCAAGCTGCCATGTGAGGAAAATTCCCAAACGTTATAGCAAAAGAAACCTTCCTTCAACTGCTGGAACTCTCTTATCTGGGACAATATGTTTCTGAAGAAATCTTGACACTAACATTTGTTTTACCAAACCACAGAAAAACCTACAGCAGCAGAACGACGACGAAGTTCCAACCAAGAGCTTCCACTTCCACCCCTTCCAAGTGGTGCACAGAAGTAAGATCTCTTTCCATAATCTTTTGAATATTTCAGGGCACCAGCACCTGCTGCTTGTTCTGAATACAGCTGTGAGAGGTTCAAAGGGAAGCACTGTTTTTCACTGTAGCCTTCTGTTGAGAGTTGTGGTTCCTGAAGCCTCACAGTAGCACAAAAATAAAGCATAGCAAATGAATGCATCCAAATACTATAGCCATCACCAAAAAGCATGGGAGGGTATAATATCTCATAAGGAAGGTAATGGAGATTTAAACCAGGTTTAAATTCCTTGTTTTCAGTACTAGTGGGATATAATTTTTTTAAATACCTGTATCAGACTCTTAATTTCTCAATGGACAGATGGGTAAGATGGAACACATTCTACCACTGCATGCTTCAAATACACAATTTTCATGATATTAGAACAGGGTAGATCCCCTCAGACCTTTTTGTAATCTCTTGATATTTATTTCAGGCCTCTGCTCCAAAAGTTCTCAATTCTGCCAAGTAAGTATAATTCAGTTTTTGAATTAATATGTGATTAATTTGTAATTTCAAATTAATCTTTGATTTAAGATTATTTCAATATGCCATGCATATTAATTATTTTGGAATTAATATATCTGTAATGCATACAAAGAGGAGATCAAGTATCCAGGGTCTTAGCTCAGCTAGTAAAATTAAGGAAGTATGTCAGGGTAATTGATGGAAATTGGGTGCTTCATTTCCATTTATGACTACTGGAAATTTCTACCAAAGGCAGTTTGGGCCATTTCCCATCATAATAAAGATTCCATCAATCTTCCTTGCCACAAAAGAATCCTAAATATGACATTTCTGGGCTGTTCCAGGCTTCTCTTGCCTAGAAGACAGACAGATTATTATTGCCTCCAATTTATTCTTTCTCTACAGGAGGGAGGGGGGGAAAAAGTATTTTTATAATGGCAAAGGCTAAAGCTCTTCTGTTTTCCGAGAGGAACTTTGTTTCAGTTCACAGTTAAATTAGGTAATATGTGTATTTACTCTTTGCACAGAAGTGTAAATTAGATTTAGCATTTTTCTAGTCTCTTGTGAGCAGACACTTGTCTGACCTTCCTATAAACCCTTTTCTCCACATGTTCAGCCTCAACATATCTTTCACACTGTAAATAAATGGTAAGAATTGCACATAGAAATCTGCATTTGGTGTAGCTTAAACTTATATGCTGCTATTAGTGCATCTTTTCCTGGAAATGTTTGCCTGATGGATGTTGCAATTATATCTCCTCTGCTGAGGAAGTATAATAATGGTTCATCTTAATGACATTGACTGATGCTCTTAAGTTTGTCTGCTCCTGTCACACAACTGATGTGCTTCAACTTAAAGCATAAATTCTTACTGCTCTCTGAAGTGTAACTATTCTTTGAGTTCATGTGGTGCTAAATGATGCTCTGATTAGTAAATTTTCTTTAACATCTTCTTCTTCTGTGTCAGGTCCAGCAACAACTTTATTACACATACAACTGGTCCCTAATCTCTAATGTCCCTTCAGCATAACCTGTCATCTTTTCTTTGTCTCCATACAAGCCTAGAGCTAACTTTTATCTTTTCTACTAAAAGGGCTTATTTCCCATATGGCACAGTATCAGATACTCCACTGAAGTCCAGATTAAGTACAGTGCTATATTCCCTCTTTGTAGAACTCTGTTATTTTATGAAAGAGCTGTAACATTTTATCTACTTGGGTAAGTTTCAGATTTTGTCTTACTAGTTGTATCTTTACATCCAAATCTTAATGTTATTTCCTTCAAAGTCTCTCCTAGGGCCTTGTTCTGTGGAATAGACAGAAAGGCCTGTAATGCTCAGCTCACTTTTTACAACTTTAGGTACAGCAATTATTTTTGGTATCCTTTAATCATATGGTACCATCCTGACTTGAAAATTATTTAAAATTACTGTTACCACCCCTGAATTTCATGTGCCAGTTTTTGAAATTTCTGGGGTAAAGATTATGTGGGCCCACCAGTTCAATTGTACTGGTTATTTAAGCTTTGCTTCCATTGTGGAAATTTCCATTTCTGTATCAGAACTACTATTTGTTTAGTACCTAGATTACCTTTAAAATCAATAAAATTGTTACTGCATGAAGCCCCATCTCTCTTTCCTTTTTCACACAGCTAAGGAATCTTTTATTACTTATTTCAATGTCCTTTTGTCAAGTCTAATTTGGGCTGACTTCTGGCAGTTCTTACTTTATTCATACAATCTACTTTTCAACTGTAGCTTTTGCAGCTGGTCAGTCAAAACTTTAGAGAAAACCTCAAAATTCTTAATATTGAATATCCTTCTTCAAGTGGTTTCTAATTCCTTGAGATCTGGAACTTACAATGTCTCCCCTCCACTTGAAATGCAGCTTCCAGACAGTTGCATCTACAAAAGAAGTTTTAAACCTACTTCACACAGCTGTCTCTGAGCTCTCTAGTCCAACTGAATTTTTTAACTCTGGTCACTATATGGGCTCATCTATAACATTCTTATTCCTTTCTAAACTGAAATCTAAGTCAGAATTATATTAGTGAAGATTTGATAATGCAGTCTGCAGAGCATCATGTCCAGGAATAGGTGAGTGCTAACAATCCTAGTGGCATTTGATTTCCCCAATAAGTAAAACACACAGGAAATAAGGCTTCCCATAATAACAAAATAAGTAACACTTAACTTTCTACAAACATCTTCTCTAGTACATTGATCTGCACTTAACTCTTACTATAAGTACCCATAGCAGACACCTATACTCTTGGACCAAGATTCTGTTTTATCAGAAAACAATTATCTATACTTATTTCCCATATTTCTCTCATATTACTAAGCAACACTACTCAAACATTTGGCTCCTGATTTCTTAAACTCTGACATCTGTACTTCAGCCCTAACAACTATTTTCTACGATGCTTTGTTATTACAATTATAATCAAGCTTCATAAACTTTCCTACTAATTCTACTTCTCTATTTAGCAGCCTGGGCTTCTTGCACATGCATACAAACAATTCAGTTGGACTGAATTAGTGAAAAATTCTCTCTGAGCTACATTCATTTTCATGACTCCCTCACCTATATGACTACTTCTCACACTGGACTGAGTGCTATTTGCATTGTGCTCCTGCATTTTCTTATCTGTTGCTACATTCGTTCACTTGGGTGGTGGTGGAGTTTTTTCTCATACGCTAAGTCTAGATCTGACTATTAAACAAATTGTTAACCAAACTGGTTTTCTCTTCATAAGCAAGGCTAATCTTCTGGGCAGGCAAGTGTGCCAGTACTTATATAGGCCCCATCCATTTACAGCAGACAGCTTTCCTGAGTGATATTAAAGGTCAAGCATTTTCAGATCTTGTAACAAATCGATTTCTTACATTATAACAAACATACTTTGAAAACTTTTATACGTGTTGTTCTTTCTCTTTTCTAGAAGTGCCAGAAGCTGCAAACCGTTCTCTGGGCCCTTCCCCTCAAAGCAGCACTTCATCTATCACAAGTTCTGCAGACCAGGTAAAACATTAGCTAATTTCATATTACAGAAATCTTCTTATCCTGTATTTTAAAATAGTATTTCCATCCCTACTCCCCTTCAAAATAAAAATGATGCTGCTTTTGTGGAGAGTGTTTGTCCCCTTTTGCAGGGAATATTTTCTGTAGCACAAAAAAATCTGAATGTTAACTTGCATTATAAAAAAGCTTAGAACATATAGCATAGGCGAGGTTTAACAAACTGTAGAAAAATGTGTTGCAAACCTTGGCACTCTATCAATCATTTCAAACAAAATTTAAAGAAACGTCTTAGTTTCATGTCTTCCTGACTCCCCAGTTCATATCTTCAACATCAATGAAACACAAAAATCTATGGTGATGTGTATGTCCAGTCTTTGATACAGATGGCTATAAAGAGTTTTTAGTTGCCTCCTTTTTTCTAACTTATAGCTGTACATACTGTGCACAGAAAAAAAAATAATGTGCAGTAAGCAGAGACAATGATGCTGTGATGCCTCCCCCCCCATTTGTTTTAGTCTCTCCCAAGTCCTGCTCCTTTCTGTTCCTTTAAACAGATCTCTTCTCATTACAGTTAATGCTGTCAGTTTTATGGCCAAATCTTCTTTTATGTGTTTTGTTTCAACATTAATCCTTGAATAATCTAAGCAAATGCAAAGTTATTTTCATTTCAGTACTATTTGCCTTACTCTCATTTTGGATGAAGGGAGACTACAAAATGCAGTCATTCTTACTAGCTTAGTAGTCACAAACAAGGTAAAAGTAGTTCTGGTGAGTGTAAAACAAAGGCTCTATTGTGCACAGCTAGTGACATTAAATGTTTTAAAGCCTGACATGACAAAGATAATACAACAGTGAAGAACACAAAGGATTTCAAGTTCTGGAAAAATTTTAACTGTATGTCATACTGGATATTTATTATAAAAATAACTTTCAAATAAACAATCCAGCAGACTCTAAATAAACAGCTTGTAGCAATTACATTTGTAGTTTTTATGTAACAGCCACGGGCAAAACCAAAGCTTAATAAATCATCCGTTTTGTAAAAAAAAAAAAAATTAACTGTTAATGTTATTTTTCCACCAATTATGTACAGTGGTATAATTTGCTGTAGCATCCTGCACAATACAGGTGCTCGCAGATGTCATTCATTCCCGAGGCTCGCTGTATGTTTGGTTCCCATCCAAACTTTGACAGCAGCTGTCTGCTTCTTCATTATAGGCTACAGATAGTGGTAGCAGAAAAGTCTGGGGCCAGTTGACTCCTTGTTTTGTTGAACAGAAGATTTGTTTGCTGGGCTCATTCTCTACATGGACAAGTACCTTTCATACTTGCAATTCTTCTCATCCTTTCTTTTTCCAATGAATAGTGTGACTGAAGAAATACATGAAAGAACTTTGAAGATAAAGTTACATGTTATGGCTTGAGCCAGTCTTAAGAATTTAGTGCAATGCTCTCTCCTACTGTCAACTCCCCTCCCAGCCACAGACTTCTCTGGAGTTCCTTTCTGATCCTGCAGTGGCCTGAGCCAAGTCATTAAACTGACAGAAAACCAACCTGGCAGTCAAACACAAAACAAGGCAAAACAAAAAGGGAAACAGATTTTTTTTTTTTCATGCAAGATTAATAAAGTGAATTATCTCACCATGGGATCAGATGAGCAACAAAATGAGCACAAAGGAGAAGCCAAGACATTCCCTTTTTGGCAGCAATAATCCAGCTAGACCAGCTCAGCCATAATGTGCAACTTCAGCTTTAATCTGTTTTGTCCAGAGGTGACAAAGCTTGTGTGAAAATTAATTTTCTCATTAAGCTTGTTACTGTAAAGGTGGAGCAAAACTGTTCAAATAACCAGAAAGGTTAATACCCAGATGTATTCATTAGGAAATACTCTTAGCATTATTTCTATAGCCTTTCCACTCAGACTGAGAGTTTACATCAACCTCCTCAGCAAGAGCTCACTTTTCATGACTGCTGGTTTGATAACCTACTAATTTATCTTCTAGCTATTGAAGTCTGATAATGCATAGGTCTCATGTTGCTTCTAATCCCTCATCCTGTCCTTCCTTTTCAAAATTCTCTAAAATCCTCCATACCTCTCCCCTAAACTCCACTCCTGTTCCCCAAATGTATGCTCATTCCTGCATCATTTTACTACCCAGTTTTCTACCATTACTTCTCTCACTCAAATTCTACTCTTGTACCACTCCCAACTGCCATCACCTCCTCACATCTTTTTATCTTTGTACTCCTTTGCTGTGAGAGCTTCTATCTTCTAAAATAGAATTCACAAATTTTTAGGGTGTCAGTCTTTCTACCACGTACCTTTAGGTCTGCACCTATGCCCACACCCATGTAGTCCTTTGTCCCATGTTTCCCTTTGGAAGAACAGGTTAAGGGTTAAGTTCATCTGCTGTACAGCACACTGCCAAGCATTTAACAGAATGGAGAGAAGCCAGATAATCTTGGTGAGATGTTTACAGGGGATAACATACAGAAATGAGGAATATTTTATAACAGAAATATGTTATAAAATATAAGCCGCTCTTCTATTTGGTCACAGATATAATCATTCTTCACAGGTAAACATAGTTTTATGCCTTTTAGATAAGAGCACTGCTTCAAATGTAAGGATACATTCAGGCTCAATCCAACAGAGAACCAGAACTGAATCCATGTCTTGGGTGAAAGCACTGTGGGCTGCATTGCTATACTATTAGAGGAAAGACATTAATTATTACTAAGTTTTGTAAGGAATCCATTCATTTGTCCTTACTTAATAACAACAAAAAGAGCAAAATATGCGCTAATCCAACCTTCATGATATCCAGGTGGAGACAATCATGATTGTGTTCACAAGTAGCATTAAGTATACAGGAAACATCATTTCCAAAAATGCCTACCAAATCTGAACACCTCATTAGCTAGCCCACAGCTGAGCAGCATTTTAATTCTTGACAGTCTATTTATTCCTCAACATTTCTTGGATACCCTCTTTAAATTTGATTAGAATAGCTTTCTTCTTTAAAAATACCAAACTGTCCTCCAGTTCAACCTGCTTTCCTCAGAGTATCCCTCTTTCGTCATTTATCAGCCTTCTATCACACATCTGTTACCACTGCTTTGACACTCCAGCGTTTCTTTGTCCTATCTCTATCCAACTAAAACAGTGAGCTCATGGCAAAGACTTTTCTCAACTCTGTTTTCTGCATTTTAGTTCCTCACAGCTGTCGTTATTTAGTAGTAACTCCCCTACAGCCATATTCATTACCATCATTATTTTACAGGTAAAACACTGTTTCTCTCTTCTAGGATGCTGGTGTTCACAGTAAAGCATGGTATGCTGCTACCTGTGATAGGAAAATGGCAGAAGATGCATTGTACCGATCAAACAAGGTAAGTCACTTTTAAAAAATGTCTGGTTTATGAAAAAAAGCTTCAAATAAAAAAGATCAAAATACAATCAGAAATATTTTAAGAACATCACTTATATTCTGAATAAGTCAGAATACTGTGCCATGCAAGTACTGTCAAATATCAAACCTGAAATTATTGTGGTGAAACTATTTAACTGTGGTTTTCATCACAAGACAAAGTTGCATCAGTGTAACTCAATAATGGGAGCCTTGCGGAGAAAACTATTACAGACTAGAGAGCTGAGGAAGACCTGGTAGCTCACGAGCATCCCTTAAAGAAATGCAAAGCCCTGTGACTTTTAAGTGACCTCCACCACTGTCCAGTGGCTCATGTGAAAACAGCTTCTATTTGGAAAAGCTGAGGTTGCCATGCATTTTGAAATATCAACACTGTGCATTTAGGTACTTAGAGAATTTGAGTTCTCTCAGCTATTCTGTGTACAAAAGCCAGTGTCCCTGGAGGGAATAGTAGCATGTAGAGTTGCATCCTCAGCATCAGATACGTTCCCACACTTGCCTAACTCCACAAACCAAGATGAAGTGGCAGAGCACAGGGTTTATCACCAAATAGAGGTTACTGCTTGTTAGTGGGCACAGGGCTACAGTGTCACTGGTGCAGGTGCTTGACTTTGAGAGTGCTTTTTACAGCTCATTGCTTTCTTGTCTACTTACTGCCACTGATAGTAACTTTATTTCCTAATAATCTGTGGACCCTGAGAGATGGCTGCCACTGGGTATTTATTTCGTCTTTTTCTCTCTGATTGAGAGAGAGAGAACAAGCAGCAGCAAAGGTGATTCTTAAATGACACCTTTGTATGCTACTGTTAGACAGCAGGAATACATGCTACTTCTCATCTGCTGCTGTACAGTTTTTCTAATAGGAGAAAAGAGTTTAATGCCAATATAAATTAAAATATTAAGTTAAAACCAAACTAAGTTATTTGAAAAAAAATAAGCCAAATATTTATTTTCTTTCTTCAGGATGGATCTTTTCTAATAAGAAAGAGTTCTGGACAGGACTCACAGCAACCATACACACTGGTTGTGTTTTACAACAGAAGAGTGTACAACATCCCTATACGATTTATTGAATCAACAAGACAATATGCACTGGGCAGAGAAAAAAGTGGTGAAGAGGTGAGATGATGAGGGGGTGTTTTTCCAAAGTTTTCAGTTATATACCTTTAATAAGAAAAGATTAAGATATATTGCAGTAAGATTCTTCATGTAACAAGATAAAAGTATACCCTTTATAATGACTGATCTGTCAAGCTAGAGAAACCAGTGTAATGTCAGCTCCTGCATACTATAATTAAAACCACAGATCAAGTTTAAAACATACTTGTAGAACGGTTTTGAAAAAAGTTAACAGGATCAGAGCTACAGCTGCTAGATAAATTTTCTGACTGTTTACAGTTCTCCATTTACCTTCTACCTATCTAGTTAAGTTTCTTGGAAAATTTTAAAAGAACAGCCATACTCAAGAAAACCCCCAACACGCAATCAAAAATGAGGCTGACATTACTTTTAATACTGTTTTCACATAAAGAAAATGTTAAACTCAAGTTCTAGAATGAAAAAAATTGCTGGTTGGCTATTATACCACACAGGTACCTGTTCTGACAGGAAAACAGAAACGTGGAACCCAAATACCAATAAAAACAGTTCGTTATCGCTGCACAGAGTAGGCTTTTCAGTAATGTGAAAGTAAGCTTACCTTAGCCTAATTATCTGCCTCCCAGGCAATGGTTTTGAGATTACAGAATAAATAATAGTCTGGAGCTCACCTGGCCTTCAACAAAGGGTCAAAAATTATCTCAGGATAAATAAATAGTCCAAAATCTGTATTTGACCAAAGACCAAAAGGAAAAGCAACAGATCTAGCAGATTCTGGATATTAATTTACTGTGACAAACATTACAACTGCATAACTAGAACAGTTCTCATTGATGGCTGTCTGTACCATGTTAATCCTGGAGATAGCCTTCCCTCTGAGGTGTCTGAATCACATCTACGCAGCTTCCAAACTGCCAGTCTGCAGCCTAGTACACACTGGGGTAAAATCAAAGCAGTGTCAGTTTACTATGGCCTGTAACAAACTCTGTGGTTCGGTCTGTACAGGTGACAATCACAAATGGAAAGGATGAGAGAGCTAGCGGCCATATCTTCCATGGTCCAAATTTAATGTGTTTATTACTAGAATCAGAATTAAAGCAGGATCAGTGCTCTTACTTAAAGGTAGAGCATCTCACTTGGTAACAGTCATAGCTTAGCCCTCTTCAGTGATGTGAGAAACAAAGATAAAAAAGCATTAAAGGAAGCCAGCACTAATTATTTTTTGTTTTCTTTATCCAGCGCTTTGACAGTGTTGCTGAAATAGTAGAGAATCATCAGCGCACCTCCCTGGTTCTAATTGACAGCCAAAACAACACAAAAGACTCAACAAAACTGAAACACATTGTAAGAGTTTCTTAATCAAACTGAACTGCTAAAATGAAGTCTTCTTTAATCATTTCTTTCAACATCTGAAGACATGGACAAGGTTTTAAAAGAAGAAAATCCAAAATAATGGAAAACTTTAAGAGCACCTACTGAGTAGTAAGAGATGCAGTTCATAGAGTTCAACCCCACATCACTTTTATCAGAAAAGTGTTCACTTTTAACACAAGAAGCCAAAGCAGATGTACTCTCATCTGTGATTTCCATCTGGGACAACACAGGTATCCAAAGTCAAGCGAAGAACAACTGCATATCACAGCCTGGTCCTTTGACTGCTATTTAAAGACAAATATCCTGTAGGACATTTTCATTTTGAAAACAAGAATACTCATTGCTTTTTCAATTTGTTTACCACAGATCACTGCTTTCAGCAATTTCTTTGTAAAGTGGCACAGCCCCAGAAATTAGACCAAATCGACCTAATGTACCACCGTGCACAAGTTGAAAATAGGACTGTATTTTATGTGATCAGTGGCAGCAGAGGTGCCTGAATGTTACAGATTAATGGACGTGTTGTCCTTTCCCTCAGCTTTACCCTGTTTCATTGATATTTTTGTTTATATTTTCAAATGTGCAAATAAAATAAAAAATATTGTAAAGTCAGCAGTGTATAGACATTGCTGGATCTCATCTCTTGGTATCTTTCCAGCAAGAAAGCATCAATTCACTATTGTTGATGTTTTAATGTATATATTTATATGTGCTCCTTCACGAGTTGTTACGAAAACCATCCCTTTTTACAGCTTTTGCATGTATTATATATTTGGCTTAATGGCTCTCAAATCTTTTGTCTTCAAATTACCTACTGTTGGTGACTCAAGTGCACTGCTTCACTGCTAAAGTAATTAACCACTCAATTCTTGCAGAATTATTGTTTATGGACACACACACAAAAACCCACTTGTTTTTTCAGGCCTGTTCTAACACCATGCTTTACTTATTGTATTATTGTGTGAACCAAGTAAATTTGCACAATGTTCAAGGGGTAAAAATTAATTTGATTAATGTATAAATTGCATCAATGAAAAACTTTTAGGAACAGTTGTTAATTAGTTCTAGAGATGTTTGATTTCACTGGACCTGAAAACTCATCCATCTTAAAGGTATTTTCCAAAACTGTCACTTTATACTCACGTTTTGTTCTTTTTGTTCCAGGTTAGGCAGTGTTTTCTAGGATTATCTGCAAGGCATTTAAGGCAAAATTGAGTCAAGACTTGTAAAATCCCAGCAAGTCACTTAGAGCCATATTGTAGCTGTATTCTGCAACTACCTTCTTGTGCCTTTGATCAGTTACTTCTACAAGTAATGCACCGGTCTTCTAGAAAGAACTGCATGCTAGTATGATGTTCAGCATCTCAGTGTCTTCCCTCTGCAACCCAGGCGATACTTAGCCCAGATGTAAAGCAAGTAATACACTGGCAAGTAAGAAACAATGTATACAGACTTTACACAAGCCTGGCTATGACAGTCTGTTCACATTACTACATAAATGCTATGTTTAATACATTGCTCAGTTGGTATTAATTAGTGTTATAATAATATTATGCTTAATACCTGTGTAATGTTTAGAGCATTAAGACTGCCAAGTCAAGGTCTCAAAATTAACAAAAGTTAGTAGTTCCTGCAAGTTTAATTTATTCCTTCTATATGTGTACTCATATTATTTAGCTACTTTAAGCATCACCTTAAAAGCTTACTCGCAATGGAAAGTACTCTGTGAAAAAGCAGCTACTCAAAATTTAAGTAGAGTCCTTGTCTATTCACTCATGTATTGCACAGTATTTAAACTTTGTACTAACAAAACTGTCTGCCTGCTAACCTTTCTATGTTGCTCCTCACAAATGTCTAACTTCTTCAAAGACTGCCTTCTGAGTTAAGTGTGTAGTACCACCATCATTCTAGAACTGCAGGGGGGAAAAAGATAGGAACAAGTGAAATTCAAGCGTAGGTACAGACTTCCATATGAGAGATTAAGTATCTGGTTTTTAAGGTAATTAGCACTTCTGAGCACTTTAAAGCACTGCTGCTCCTGTCTATGGGCTCTAAGTGCTCAGCACTACATGTAACATTGTTGCTGACTTACAAATAACAAGTATGCTCTAGGCAAAGGTGCAGTTACATTCACTCTCAAACCCTTCTTTTCCTTTTATCCTGTTCTACATGATTACAGGGGTACCATAGTTTTGACAACAAAATTAGGCAGGGAGTTGATAGGCAATACCACCTTCCACAAAATAATCGGTTCAGCCTGAGAACATCCTAGGCACAAAATAAGGCTCTATAGGGGGAAAAAACCCCAAACCACCAAATGCACAAACCCACCAGTGTGGGATCACCTATTTTGCTATACTCAGTGTTTTATACAGGAAGAAAGGAACGTTTCCTAGATTCTGGACATAAAATAAATTGGCCCTCAGGATGAAGTATGGTACATTAGAAATCCCAGTGCTGTGGATCGAGCAGCCATTACAGAATTAATTAGATGGATGTCCATGGATAAAGTGATACAACAGTGAAGTAAGATTGTATAAAGCAACCTTATTTCAACATTTCCTAGTTTTACAGTGTTCTTTTTCACAGTACCACTTCAGGTTACTCAATTAATAGGAAAACAAGCCACTGAGAAAAAAATTCCAGTGACAATTGTCACTCTCATGATTCATAAATATAGAGAAATCCTCCTATTCTACAGCAGAACTTCAGTCTTGATGCTAAGTAATTGTTAACAAAAACTGGTCATCCTTGCTGAAGTGGCACCAAGTAGGTTTAGCAAAAAAATTCACAGATATTTTTGCCAAAGAAGGAAAAGGCAATATCCAAAATTCACAGGTTCAGTTTCAGGGTTTATAGGAGTAAAATGAGGCAGACAAGAGCTCGATCCTTCTCCTTAAAAAAGCTTAGCATGTTTTTGTCCTTTCCTAATCCCGTTTCTTTCCAACATATTTCCTCACCACTACACTTTATCTTCAAAGTTCCTAGCCAAATTATCGTCAGAGCTCAAACCCAGCACAAAATGATCCAATTTTGATACAAAACACATACCAATTGTATGCAATACCAACACACACCAACTTGTAATTCACCCAAACTATGCTGCCTTGACTGCTTCAGTTGACTCCCATACATAACTCACCAGCTACAAGCAAGTGGGCATCTTCCTACCAAAGGCACATAAAGAAAGAAAAATGTATCTAGCCACTGAAGTAATTTTTTTTTAAATCATTTTAACACTTTTTAAAACAGAAGCTGAATTCAGGTTAGTGGACATGCCTGTGACATCCATGAAAGACTTCAAACTGTTTCATTGGTAGCAAGGCAATCTTCATTTTCACCTTATGGAAATAGTCACAGAGAACTACCTGGGCTTGTGTACAATCTAAAATCCCCAAGATTTAAATACCCCAGTCCTCTCCAAGCCCAGTATTCAATTTCGGAAGTTTTTCCATCAATACTTCGGGAAGCTGATTTGCACGCCTAAGATGTAATCCTCCCATACTTGGGCAAAAGGTCTGGATGTTCTAGCCTCCTGCTTCATTAACAATCTGAAGGACAAAGCCTCTACACATAATTACTGTGGATAATAAGAACCTCCATCTGTGTACTCTCAGTCACTATGGATATGGACTTTGGTTTACATACCCTCACATAAACATTAAAAAACGTGAAGTGTATTCTCTCTTCATCATTATCCCAAAAAGTCTAAGTAGGAAGCCAGGAACATTACCATAAGAACATTACCCTACTGGCTGGTAAAGTGAGGGACATGTGATACAAGCCTTGGTTTTGCCAAACCCCTGGTATCCTAAAAGGCAGCGTATCTGAATAACCAATAGCAGAAAACAAATTACATCCACCTGGGACAAAACTATAATGCAGTTAAAGCCCTGAAATTGTGCTTTGCACTTCCCAATATTGGGTTTGTGGCAGACATAGCAAGACAGGAATATTTTCTATAAATGCTCAGGGTCATCTTCTGTAAACACAAGTTGTAGCAAATTTAATAGTGACAAAGTCAATACAGATTAGGAATGTTCACCATTCTTTAACACCATATACATTATGAATATATATACTGCATATTTTCAATCGACTTTATTCTGACTCACCGCATTAACACAAACGTAACATTTTATTAATTTATATGAAAAATACTTCACTAAGAAAGTAGACAAACTGCACAGAAATAGTACAAGTGTCATGTGCATAGCAATATAGCTTAAAGCATTCACATATGGCTTTGTTTAAATGAAACTGTTGGGGGAATGGCCCTATGCAGACCCATGGTTACACAGTCGACATAATGTAAACTGCTTCACATCTTTGAGGCACTTGCTAACAATAGTGTTCAATCCCTGAAAAACAAAATCAAGAGCTAATAAGTGAAAAATAACAGAAATCCCAGGATAACAACTGCGTGTATTTGAAAAGATTTTAAAAATTGGTTTTAGTAGTGCATGCACAGAACTGAAAAATGGGGGATGGGGTGTAATTTCTGTGCAAGAATTATACCAAGTAACTGAAAAGTATAAAAATATTTACATGTTTAGAGATTTTTAAATATGTACAGAACAAAAGCCCTGAAGATTCATTCTATAGAATAAAAATATAGCACATAATAGTAGTAATAAAAAATAATATATCTTTTTATGGAATTGTATTTGCAGTTAGTTACAAGTTATTTAAACCACAAAGCTCCTTGATCTTTCTCAAAGCTGATGCCAATAGGGAATATGCTCTTTCTTTTAAAACACAAGCACTTTTCATCATTTTTGAACTTCAGTTACAATACTGACATAAAAAACAAAATCACTTGTGTATCCTAATTCAATTGAATATTTTTTGAAAAACTTTAATGCATGGTATTTAAGTTTTATTTTCTTCACCAGTCATCCTTCCATTAACGAATTCCAATCTCGAGTGGCCTCCATCAGATGTCTCTGTCCATGTCCTACCCAATTATCCTGATTGTCAAATATTCTACCACAAAACCAGCAGCTAAACTTAGCTTTCAAGGTATTATTAGAGGTAGTTTTCACAATCTGGTAATTGTTTTTGCTAGTCTTTTTCAGTGTCAATTTTAAGACAAATCTTTCTTTTACAGGGCTAATAGGTTTTATGGTCCTGTATCTTTTTTGAGAAAAATCATCAGTAGTTCCATCCAAAGGATTGCAGAAGGCTGGCTGCAGAAGCGCTTCAATAGTTCTTTTTGACAATGAAACCTTAAGAACATGTCCCTTAAATTTAGCAATAGTTTTCATTACATTTACAACTTCTGGAACATCTACATCAGGATGGTTAAGCACAACAACTGGTTGGTTTCTCCGAGGGCATTTTACAAGCTGATTAGAATTAAAAGGAAGTAATTTCAAAGTCCTCACAGTTTTTTTTGATGCCCTTTGTTTGTAAGGGCTACCTGATTCACTAACAACTGCAGCTTGATTCTTTTCCTTACACTTTCTGTGCAACATTGCTTTCTTTCTTGGAGGTTCTGGGCAACTAGCCTTCCTTTTACGTTTGAAATTCTTATTTCTTTGCACACCTCGAGTTTCTGAACTTTTAGACCGCGTTTGTTTTAAGCGAGGTTTTACTTTTGCAGTTCTGGTTTGGGTGCTCCATGTTGACTTCTGACAACCAAAGTTATTCCTGTTGTTAGCAGTTATTACTTGTGTACTCTCAATAGAACCTTTTTGCAATCGTGTCCCTGCAGATTTAGTAGAATAAACAGGTTCTACAGGAGGAACACAACATGCTGGATTAGAGCTTGCCAAAGAGGCATTTGCTGGCATTAACCCACCTGGTAAGATTAAGGCATTATTAAAACTAAGATTAGTTTGTTTCTGTGCTAGTGCAGGAGTAAGGAACTGCAAGTTATCTGCCTGTAGTGAGGGCACTGAGTTGCTCACTGACTGAGTGGTATCAGCCAGTGTATGTGAAGTAGGAGGTTTCATTTTCGGCAAAAGCTGTTGTTGCATGGCTCTAGTTTTCTTTGGTTGACAATTTTGATAATGAGCATTATCCTGAAAAAAAATTGGTTTATGAACTACAGGCTTGTTTGGTGTCGTACATTTCAGAAAAGCTCCCTGCTGTCCATCAGGCAAAAGTGCATAAACATCTTGTTCCTGTTTAATTTCCTGTTGGTTTACTGACTCCAAAGAACCAAAGACAGCGTCCCGATGCTCTGATAACACTTTCACAGAAGAAATTCCTTTCACAGATGACTCCAATGCATTTGCAGTTACAGGAGGTCCTCTGAATGGCATGCTAGTCAACGAATCATGTGCTGTACTACTTGCTTCCCTATTACAGGAACTTCTTACATTTCCAAAACTGTCATTTTCCCCCTTCACTTTTGAAGTTGATATGGTTATTTTACCAACTTCTCTGGGTGCAATTCCCCCTAAAACCTGAGAACTATCATTAGCGGCACTTGCAACTGTTCCAACTGCCCTGCTAAAAGTCAAAATCATTCCAGGTCCCTTATTTGAAACAAAAGATGCAGGTACACCTTTAGTCACGTGCCCATCTGATGAGCTGGTTGATGGAAGAGATTTTCCTGAAGCCACCTGTTGTCCAGGCTGGTTAGCAAGGTGCAAAGGAACAAAAAATCCTGATGGAAGAGACTTAAAGAAAAGGGTTTTCTTCTGTTCCTGAAGAACAGGTAAAACCGGCGAAAAGCTGCTGGGATTTTGAGCTGCAGACAGTACTTTCTCTTTTACTAACTGCTGTGTTAAGACTGAATCTGTACAAGTTTTTAGCAATGTACCAACACCCGGAGTTATGGATAATTTGTCCACATCCTGTGAATCAAATGATGTTTTGGATGTCTGTCTTTCTCTCCCACAATGTGTGCCTTCATTTGTGCTACATCTTGTGTTCCACTCTCTCTTATATAAATGAAAGTCTACATTAGAAGGAGGCCTCTGAAAACCACATGTAGTTGCAGAGCTTTTTAAATGCATGAAGGCTGTATTCCTGGCCTCATGACCAGAAAGCAGCTTGTCAGAATGAAGTTTTACAGAGTTATTTGTCTTGCTGTGGAACTCTTGCTGAGAAGTTGTTTTCACTTTTAACACATCTTGCAGTATCTGTTTTATTTCAGGCGATAAATAATTAGCTGCTTGTTCACTTTGCAATGAGAAAACAGATGTGATTTTAGGCATTAAGAAAGAGTTAACACAATCAGAGGCATTTTCTTGGAATTTCTCAGCTACGTTCTGAAAGCCTTGACCTATGGTAGTGTCCAAATACTGCTGGCCATGATGCTGGTCCTCCGTAAAACACTCACTGTCAACACCGCATTTAGACTGGCTTTTAAAAGACACAGAGTTATTTTTAGTGTTTATGTGTTTGTAAGTTTTATCAATATTTGATCGAGCTGACACAACTTTCTCTGCTTTTAAGCCTCTCATCGACTCTGAATATGAAGATGCAGATTCACTTCCACTGTTTTGAAAAGAAACGGTTTTGCTAGATACAAATTCTTTGTGTCTGTCATCTGTTGACATCCGAATGCTACATGGATTATCTAAAGAGTCCACTTTGGAATAGTTGTGAAAAGACAACAACCCTTCCTTAGAAGAATCCACTGAAGTTGAATAGTAGAGATTATTAGTTCCATTACTATTATTCAGGCCACCATTTTGTATTTTCAGTTCAGGAAAAAAGGGCATTTTTATAGGGTCACAATGAAGTGTATTTGTCATAGCGGGTGGTAATACCTGAGGATGACTTGAAGGGCTAAAGTTCCCCCATGAGACACTGTTTGGAGTTCCAGCTTTTGTTACTTTGTCATGTGGAGGTACAGTTGAGCTCAACTTCATTGGCAAATAATTTGAACTTTTTCCTACAGCTATATTAGAAGGTGCTACAGTTTCAGAAACACTCCTACCATACAGTATGGAGTTATTTTGTTTTTCCACTTTTATTTTTCCTGAATGATGTGCAGGACAAGAAAACAGAGGGGAGGTTAATGGGTGAACAGAATTGTTCTTTAAGGTTGACTGATCAGTTACATGTGCTATAGCACCTGAAGACAAACCACAGGGATCAGAAGTCTGGAGCAAAGGAGTTGCAGAACCATCATTAACCGGATCAGCCTTCTGACCCAACAAATACTCATTTTGCTTATTTGTAGGTAGTAATTTTATAACAATATGTTGTTTTCCATCTACCATTTTAAAGCCCATAAATTTAGCGCTGTAATTTGCCGGAACAGCTATTTTATTGTTTTTAACCATCAACACTGTTGGCCCATGAACAGCATTTTTCAATAATCCCAGTCCGTAACTTGTTCCATCATCTGCCTTATTGTATTGTGCAGTAGTAGCAGAGAACATTCCATCCACGAAATTACGCTTTTCTGTGTACTTAACTTCATCTTTTTCTTCATTTGTTTCCATGTCTCTCATACACTGGTTCAGCTCCTCAGCATTTGTCTGAATTTTATTCACACTTCTTAGCACTTGTGCATTTTCTTCTCCAGTATTGTCACTTCCACTGCTTACTTCTTTCCGTCTCCAGAGTGCTTTTTTGGATGCTCCTATTTTATACCTTTTCAACACAAGCTTTAGTCCTGCTGGAGTCTTCACTATTCTTTTTTCATATTTATCCTTTTCCAGTTTTTCTTTAGCAATAAAGTGATCTCTGTGTAAAGCTATGATGTGTTTTAAAAGATAATCTTTCCGTGATGTGCTGTAACTGCAATAATGACAACCAAAGGAAAACATACTGGTATGAACAAGAAGATGATTTTGGAGCTCCTCTTCTGTAAAGTTTTCTTGATGGCATTTTCCACATTTATAGGGAATCTCTTTGTGTCTGTGAATGTGCTGAACAAACGTGCCCACATCATGGGTAGAAAACGCACATTTTTCACATTGAAAGTGACCATTTACGCAATGCTTTGATATGAAGTGTTTTGTCAAATCCAACAAAGTGTATATCTGTTCATCATTACAGAGCTCACATTTTACCAAGGTGCTACGATGGATGCGTCGATGCTGTTTAAAGGACTGAAAGTCATTCGCTGAGAAGCTGCACATCTCACAAGGATACAAAGGCAACTCGCCATAGTGTAACAGCTGAAAATGTTTCTGCAGATCATTTGGGCTGTATCTAATGTTATCCTTGCACTTTGTACAAGTGAAATTCAGTATCTTTGCTGCAGTTTTCAACTCTTTTTCAAATTGCACTTCTGGTTTATTTTGCAAGTGGCTTCCCTCTGAACAATCAGGATTGCTTCCGTTTATTTTGTCTAGACTTAAGGACTTCCTTGCAGTTTGCTGCTTACACTGAAAGAGTTTTCTAAATCTATCAACTTCATGTTTCATTAATACTTCATTTGGAATGTTCACCTTGGGTAATTCAATTTTCACATTTTTTAGTCCATAAGCAAGATTGACATCTAAAATTGCTGGTTGAATCCTCATACTTAAAGGATCATTCACTGATTTTTTTTCCAAAGTAGTATCTGTAGAACAATTCCTCATAGTATTGTGATTTAAGAAACTAATTTGCTTTTTATCACAAAAAATCTGTTCCTTTTCAGATGACATGATTTTAGGCTTTAATTTTCTTTACGTGAATTCTTGAGATTAGTTTTACTTTCTGCAGCAAATGAGACTACTGCGCTGAGTCAAAGCTCTACAACTTCCCCATTTCATTCTCCTGAAATTAAAAAAAAAAGAAAATATTACTTTTAAAACTAATGCAATTAGAACACTCATTACAATTCATTAATGAATACATGCCAATCTCACAAGTTGTCGATTTTTATAACAGCATTTGAGGGAAGGGGGAAGGGAAAGGATGAGGCAAAAAAATAAGCAATAATCTTTACTTGCTTGTATTGGGGTTGTTTGTTGGTTTGTTGTTTGTTTGTTTTCAAAAAACATATATATAAAACTGGAAAAATAAATCTTAAAGAACAACATCTACTGAAAGATGAAAACATTGAAATTCCATGCCATTGAATTTTGGGGGTTTCCCACTCTGTAAGCATAAGAAATCCCAAGAGCTACTTTTTTAAAATGAAGATTGTATTTATTACTCATTTGGGATTTCAAGCAAACATAAACACTCCTCTGTGACATGGATCAATAACTGAACATAGCTGAAGTGCTAAAAACAAGTCAAAATCAGCAGGATTTGATATTTTCATTACTCAAGTCTGCTACTCTATTAGCAACTAACTATTGTGTTTAAAAAGCAAAGACAAAGAAAAATCACGATCTGACGGAAGATCTACTCCACTAATGGAGACATGACCTTTACCAACACCAAAAAACCCACCACACTGATCTACAATGAATTTTTCATATGCCTACCTTTATTACCACACAAGGCTGAAGTAGTCAATAGATAAAAGTTATCTCAGGTTTCTCACCATACTTTCAATCTTTTCAGAACAAGTGCATGACTGACAACAGTACTCTATGGATTAAAAGGCTCAGAGAGGTACGGTCAGCATCACTGCCGCACTACAGACTTCATGTCAGTGTTTCACAACAGGCTGCACCAACCATTCATAGCACCTCAGGTCTGTGCTCGAACAACGCTCCCACATGTCGACGCAGAATCAGCAGAAATGAAACAGCATCAAAAATAACTTAAATTTTGAAAAGCAACAGTGGAAAGTAAGAACTGTTTCTTCACTAGTACAACACTTTTTAGTAAAAACTTTTCCGCAGTAGAAGTCACAGAGTCCCTTTCTTCTTTCCTAACAAAATTGTTAGCTGAAATCTGATCAGTGGTTCTCTCTCCACTACTCCCGTGCCCACCCGGAAGCAACACAGACTTGGAACTCATTAGATCATCTTATTTATTCACATTCAAACTGAAAAAATGATCACAGCCTCTCCCTCCTTGTGATGAAGAGCTTCTAGACTGCTTCTAGAGCTCCCAGCCATCATAAGCAATAATCCTAATGTTTTCCAAATATTTTCCCATAGTCCTATGAGAAGCAAGTATGCAGCATTAGACATGCAAATACCTGACAAAGAAAATGAAGATTGAAAAATTTACAAGTCCATGTTCATGTATCATGTAGCAAGAAAAGCAAAGCTTTTTTTAAGCTTATGCTTTATTGCATTCTTTGGGAGAAGATATTAGCATTTGTGCACAATTCCTGAATAAGCAAAACAGGCTTTGACATTTTACACAGAACCCAATATCAAATAAATTCACTTAACTGTGCTCTCCAGCTATGAGACCTGCAAGATTTCAACTATACACCTGACATTCAAAAAACTGACAAGCCACGAGATCTACAATCCCTCCTTGGGAATCTTTCCAAATGAATACACTCTGAGTACAGGATTTTTATTTTTCTTTTAACTCAGTGACACACTTCCCGTCTTCCACACCGGAAATTAATACATAGGATACTACCCTACTTTGAGCCTTCAGAAGATGCAACTCATGTGCATTTACACTCCATTTCCACCAAAACATGTGTTATGTGTCCCCTTGTCAATAGTAAATCTGTTATTTGAACAGGAGCAAGCTGAACTCCCACATAAAGAAAAGGTAACTAAAAATAACTTAGATTTGTTTGCTTGAAGAACTTTTTTAATACAGATGCAACACAAAGATTACAGGTTGCATGATGCAATACATCATCCTGTCAGTAGCTGCCCATCATTCAGATTAAAATGTTATACTGTCAAAAACTGACACCTGAAGTATATTTACAATTAACATTATAAAAATCAGAAGTGGATAAAATACTGCAGAGAACAAGGCACAGGCTTTTAACATGGGGCCAATGTGGTCCTTAACTGAGCAAAATTTCACTAACTGCATAAAACATTTACGTTTCACAAAGAGTCCCAGCTGGGCATATACAAACTTGATCTGAGATCTCCTTTTACTAATTATCCTTATAAATTACAACCTAACTTTGTTATTAGTGGGTTGTATGCAACTATGGACAAGCACCTGCCACATGACAAATAAAAATATTTACCAGAAACAATCAACTGTTAAAAAAAAATCCCAGCGATCTTTAAATGTACATTATCAAAGAAGCCTGACTTACGCGTTAGGAAAAGACTTGACTTCAATTCTTCAGCAGCTGGGGTTTTTCCACAAACATAGAAGAGGTAAATATGCAAGACTCAGAAAAGGCCACAGTCAGGAGAAATACTAAAAAAAGTTCTGAAAACAAAAAGGAAAGCTATTTTAAAATGCATAACTGAAAGCTGAAAAGCACAAATCCCTCACAATTTTACATTATGTGCATTTTTGATACATTGAAGACAAAAATAAGTAGTATGTTCTCTCTCAAGGAACACCATCAAATACAGTATCAATATTGTATATATACAATATAACAAGGCCTATCTTAACCTTAGTTTTGCCACTACATCTCAGGCATTTGTAATTGATAAGCATAAACATATGGTAACTTAAAAACAGGACAGAAAGAAGTAACTGGTGCCTCTGTCCGTCAAATTTTAACTTGAACTCAAAAGGCATTTATCTTTTCTTCAGCAAAAATATTAATGAATTCTATAGCAAAGACCTAATTAGAAGTTCCTATAAAGTTTTGCAAATCCCTAGAAGGAGGCAGAATATTACGTTCACAGTATCTGAAATAAGTAAGTAGATTAAAAAACAGATATAACGAACACAAACATTGAAAATACATAAGCACGTGCCACAGTTAATTCTCACTAAAAAAACCAAACCAAACCACTAAGCACAAGCATAAGTAACCACTTGAGGCTCTAAGCCTCAATTTTCTTTCTCCAAAAATGCTCAGTCTGTCTGTATTTTGTTTGAAGAAAGTGCACACAGAGAAGTTTGAGCTATATACTTTGATCTAGTGAGAAACAACAAACAGGAGTTAGACACTGCTAAATTAGGTAACTTTTACAGTTTTTCCATTTCGAACAAAATTCAGAATACATATTGAGGCAGGCAGTATTTTCCACATTTCTGTAAAAACTTACACTTATTTAAATTTTACTTCGGGAAAAAAAAACCTGTATTGCAGCATATCACATGCCTAGTCCCATCCTATGTGTCTGCAAATTTAGAGTGGTGCCTTCATCTCTACCAAGATCTGGACACATGCAGGGACTAAACAGAACTAGATCTTAAGAAACCCATAGAGCTGGAGCGGTCAGATACGACCTGACAGCACAACGCTGCACTTGCAAAAAAAAAAAAAAAAAATTATAACAAATCACCAGATCACTCTCACAGCTCACAGAGAGACAGACAGACACACGGCGAACTTGGCATTCACGAACAGAGCAGAGACACTCGGCCAGCCCTGCCCACCTACGGGCACCGCCGCCGCCTCCGCCCGACCGGGGCTGCCGGGGGAGCGGCGGTGTCGGGGCGAGAATCGGGGAGCCCGGGGAGCGCGGGGACGGAGCCCCCGCGCTGCCACCGCCTCAGGGTGCGACTGCGGTCGCAGCGCCGGGCTCTGCCCGACAGCACAGTGGGGGCGAGCGGGGCCCTCCCTCCCCTCGCCGGCTCCTCCTCGGGAGCCCCGCGGCCCCTCGGGCGGCCCCGGCGGCAGCGCCGCCCCGCCCGGAGCCCGGCGGAGGAACACGGTGCCGCGGCCCGCGGGAGCCCGGCATGAGGCGCCCCCAGTTCCGCCCGCCCGGCCCGACCGCCCCGTGACCCGTCCGCCGCCGGCGGGGCGGCAGGCGAGCACTATTTAATGGTGCCGCGTCCCGCCCCGCCGCGGCTGGTGCTCCCTGCTCGCCCCGCTCCGCCACGGCGCCGCGCCGGGCCGCCACTCCCGCACGGCTCGGGGACCCCCCGCTCCCGCCCGGTGCCTCCCGCGCAGTTACCGCGGGTCCCGCCGTCGCCCGGCGCGGCGCTGCCGGAGGCCATCACAGTTTCCATCCGGGCACTGCGGGTGCGAGCCCGACGAGGGGCGGCCGCGGCGGAGGGATACGCGTTCACCTGGGGGCGACGGACGGCGGCCGCCGAGGGCCAAGGCGGGCGGGGCGGCACCGCCCCGCGGGACCAGCACCCAGTGACCCCGCTGCCTTCCTCCTCCTCCCCTTTCTCTTCCTCTTCCTGTTCCCCCTTTCCTCCTCCTCCTCCACCTCGGGCGTTGGGCACATGGCACGGTCAAGGGCACCGCCCATCGTTGCCTTGAGTGTTTCAGCGCTTCCCTGTGCCCAAGGGTGTGTTTGGGCCCATGGCGCTGGGCAGGGAGAGCTGATGCTCCTCACAGAGGAAAGAACTGGCCCAGGCTTTTCGTGCCCCACTCTAGACACGAGTTTGCTGACCTGCATAGACACAACAGTAGGCAGGATATATAGGGGATGTCTGTAGGAGATGTCAGCACTTAAAGCATCCAGGACATTATATATATGCATGGGATCAGCTGATGTGTTTTAATATGCTCAAGATAATAAAAAATCAAAGCTGAAAATCAGTACGGAGCGCTTGTCTTGTTGGAGCCACAGTATCATTGCTGCTTACAGGTGGGATAAACAGCACTTGTTATTAGGAGCATGCGCTTCGCGTTTGTGCTGTTTTAATGCACGTGATCACCCAAAGGTCACCAAGGAGGATGAAGGAAAGGGAGAGGTAATAAAATTCAGATGCACCATGACCACAAAAGGGCGAATACCTGTGGCAGAAATAGACTGTAAAGATGAATTATGATTGAAGAGGTCATTGAAAAGGAAATCCTCTCTCCACTTGTGAAACCATGTTCAAAAATCAAAAGCAAAGGGGAAAAAGGTTTCCCAGAGGAAAAGGCCTAAACCATCTCATGAACAATTTAGCTGAGCAATGTAGCTAAACTTTCCTTGTGGCATCTAGTTGCAACAAAGTTTAATAAGTGCACTTTTTATTCGTGGTTAAATATGAGAACAAGAAGTGTTGCTGTCTTTGTTCGTGCACAGAATAAGGGTAAATTAAACATAAATATATTTTTGATTCCTTGTTCCAACTGACATCACTTATTTCCCTTGTGTCCTAGACTGTAACAGAAAATTAATAGAAGCCATTTTTGCATGGGGTTTTTGGCCCTAAAAAATGTCTTCAAGAAAAGAATTATATCACTGATGGTTCTACTACACCCAAATGAAACAATCCATGCCAAAAGCAAGCAGGGAAATGTATTCTGGTTTCTAATTCATTACACATTTCTAAGTAGTCAGAAGCAGAGATCGTACACACGTACCTTAGTGTTTGGAGGATTTGAAAACTTAACTACAGCTGAAGAAAGAAAAAAGAAACGTCATAGTTCTGGTAGCAGCCCTAAAGTCAGAAAAAGAATTATTTGTGAAAATCATCAGTCTAATGAGCAGCTACAGTATCGAATTTGTGTTAGAATGCTAGTATTCCTAATCTGAAATTAAAATATACATCATGCTATCAACTACTAATCCCAATGAATTCAAATATAAGATGGAAACAAACATTTTATCTTTATTTTATCACTTTATTATTCAAATTTAGAACATGTATGGATATCAAGCACACGACAAAAAAAGAAAACCTGTGAGATAACACCAGCAGGAGAGAAGAAAAAAGAAAGGTTATTTAATTTTATCTAATTTATCACATACATTGAGATCCTTTATAGCACAAGAGGAACCAAAAATTACATCAAAACACACAATCTACGGTAAATTTCTGTTGGGATTAAGATCTGTATAGGAATATATGGGGGAAAAATGGTGGCAATACAGTGAAAAACTACACCAAAAAGATTGACTTTCTATAGTAGCTTCTCCCAAAATTCATGAAAGAGCTCCTTAGTCATGAGAGTCAGCATCCACAAAAATGCTCCCCAAAATTCCTCAGTAACAGCAATAGTCTACAGCCTTCCCATTTGCAGGAATGCTAGGAACCCCTTACAAACTATGATATGAGAGGCTGCCTTATCGCTGAAGAGAGAACCAAGGAAAGCAACCACTGCCTTTTTACAAAACTCAGAGTAGAAACTAAATGAAAACCCATCTAGGCAATCCAAGGAAGATCAAAGTCTTCTCAAGTGGTACAGAAATAATCCTGATGCTGGCAGTTGAAGCTCATGTGACATCAGGAATGAATTGTGACAGAGCACACGAATGCAAACTTACATATTTCTGAGTACTTTAATTTTATCCCTAGAGTATGATTTGTTTAAGGCGTCATCACACACTTATTTCAAGGGTCTTTCCAGGACCAATGAATGCTACAGGGTGACTAAAATAATTCTCTATTATTTTTCCTGAAGACAGGGATCAGACATGATACATCTGGATATCCAGATGCACAGTATACACATCACTATTAAATTCCCAAATCTTACAAATTAAGGACTGAATCTATATAATATTCTAGTACTTCATTCTTTTTCAGAAGATAAATTGATTTTGGTCCACTTTATTATGTGACATCCTGTGAAAATGTTGTTCAATCACAAGACAATCTATGTTCTGTAAAACACGATATCCCACAACAGTTCTCAAAAAAAAAATTGCTGTGACATCTGCAGTCAGTTTTGGGTTTGGTGTTGATTTGGGCGGGGTTTTTTGCTGAGCATTGGCTATTGTCTCCAGAAGCATATGTAAGCTGTGTAGTATTTTGGAAGCTTTAAAGGTATTTGTACTGTCCCAGTGTGCATAATATCACATTATTCTGTGCACCTGAAATAGCAAACAATGGCAGGGCTTCCCGCTACATGTGTCATTAGTAATAGTCTGTTAAAAGTTGATAGGGCAATTAAGTGCAAATAAGTAGTCTTTATAGTGTGATTTTTATTATTGTTTCTATTAATTCTGTATTTCTAATGTTTTAAAATTGAAAACTTAATGCTTTACATAGGTGTTCACAAACAATAGGAGTACTACATCCCTGGTTTCATTTAGATATCCAGCTTATTTTTGGATAGCGGGATGGATTGGAACAATTTATTTTATAATCTGCTAGACTATCAGGAATTATTTATATCAGATATTTATCTACACCAAATAATTGGGACCGATGGAAGAATTTCCTCAGAAACACTTGGGGAAAAAAAATATTCCATTTTCAAAAGTGTGTGCTAAGGCAAATACATGGATGATAAATGATTCTATGGACTCTTCATTTTCTAAAGAAAACTACATCTTTTTAATGTGAAGTTGCTCAAGCATTTGCCTGAAATCACTGAATTCAGTCACACATAGGAGAGAGCTTCTTTCTGAGTTAGAAATAATAATAAAGTGTTGCTGCTAGTGTGTTCCATTTTTGAATTACAAGAAAGTGGATTTACCTGGCTAAAAGTGAAAACATTGTTTCAGTTAGATTTTCACATCTGTGATTATTCACATTATTGTTACATGTAATAGCAAAATCTCAAAAAGTTTTTTGTTCTATGGCAACTTTTAGTCTTTGTTCTCTTGCATTTTTTGCTCAATCTAACATGAATTTAAACTAATAAAGTTTACAAAATACCATATAATAAATTAATATATTCATGTATGCTGTGCTTTCTTTAGTGTTTTATCACTTTGCTCTGTAAGGACATAAAAGTTATTAGTAAATAGTTCTTTTCTTCAGCTCATAAATCCTGTAAAAAAATTAGTGTCCCATATGCCGCCTTCTATTCTTTCACTTAAAGTGAAAGAAAGTTACATCTCAGACATAATCACGCAGTCCTTTCATTCCTTATTGCACTTCAACTCCTGGCTGTGGTCATACTGGCCTTGATACTGTTCATTTTGTTCTATAATCTTTTTCTACTGATACTTTTGAGACAATTTGACAGTCTTTCACACATATTTCATAAAGCAGAGTTTTAATGTAGAAACCTCCACAAGTCTGTTCTTACAGATGCAAATCCATTTTGGTTTTTCTCCTGTGGTTTGAAATTCTGAGTGCTTATCTTATAACTTGCTCATCTGTTGGCTGTACAGATTTTCTGGAAGAGTTCTTGTTTCTGAGATTTTTCTTATGATGTGGGATAAATCATTCCTTAATTATAGCAAATAAAATTCTGAATCACGTTGTGGGTTTTAGTGAATAAAACTTAATCTCATGCATTTTTCTATTTCAGCATTTAATGTATTTATTAAATATATACTTTATAGAATATAATTAATTGATATTTCTTTCCTGGATTTTATGTAATAAGATTATAAACCATATCCTTATGTACTGCTTGGCAGCTACAGCTACTACTTAGTATCACCAGAAAAGCTGAAGTGATTATGTTTCTCCAGAAGACAGCATGTTCTGAAAATGTCCATGAAAAGTATATAAAAAATATGTCTGTCTTCATGGTACAACTGGGTGGGCAATATCACAAACAGCAGAGGTTGGAAATTCATGGGGAAGGAACCAGGGACTAAACGTACTTAGATGTAGGAAAATTATGTTTAGGAATTTACAGACCTTAGCCTTGATCTCTTATTATATCTTTACCTGCACATCTGTAGCAATATTGCAACAGTGAAAGAAGCCAACAATTTAGTTTTCTTTGTGGATTTGATGGAGCAAATCAGTCTTGGAGCTGTCTAAACCATAAATGTTAAAACTTCAGGAATAAAAGTTGAAATAAAAACAACTACAGCATTCAATCTAACATGAATTTAAATTAGTTTCTCTTTCTACACGAAAGAGCCTACACCATGCCCAAATTTGTTGATGACAAGTTTTTCAACTCTTCAGCTGGGGAAATAGCAGCATTTGCCTTCCTTTTCTACAGCTTTGTTGGAATCTGCTTTTGGCCAGATGATGCTCTGCTAAATAGACTCCATACACCAGTTTCCTATGTTAATTGTTTTAATACACCCACCAGATGGACACATCCAGTCAAGGGGCCCTGTTATAGCTGGATATCCTACATACACTTATTCTCAGCACACCTTTTTCAAGTACAATTTTTGATCATACGGTTGTACACGTGAGAGAAATTCTTAGGAAGTTACTGAGTCTTCTTTAGAAACTTGTGGAGAAAGCATCTCTCTGCCTTTTCAGTATGTGAAATGAGTAAGAGACTTTTTTATTGTTACAATTTGGGAATGGAGGAGTGTTTCCAGAGAGCAAAAGGAAGAGGCATTCTGAGAAATGTGTAAACAAAAGGTTTTAAAAGTTTATCACTGTATTTATTTACCACATGTAACTCAATTACTAATAATCTGCTAAAAGATGTGATTCACCATCATGAATAGTTTGTCTTGGTAAAAGAACTAGAATTTTTACACATCATGTTTTTTTGATTAGGCTATACTAAAGTTGCTGTCCTTGGAGAATATTTTAATCTCACTAAAACTAAAGTTTGCATGGTTAAGTGAAGATCAGATTTGGCTCATTATAACTTTACCTCAATGTTTGCAAGTGTCTTCAGGATTGTGAGCAGTCCAAGCTGAAACAAGTTCAGGCAAGCTAACTTAAAGCAGAAACTAGGGCTGGAAAAGAAAGAGGCAAAACCTAGGAACCAAGGCTGAACAGATGAAGGGCAAGATTAGGAACTAGCACTTAGGAGGAGGAGGAACTAGGACAAGGTCTAGAAAGCAGAAAATTGGATCAGGATTGTAGACAGAAACTAACACTCAAGAGCAAGAATCTAGAGCACAATTACAACTAAAAGGCATTAAGCCTCCCAGAGCATCCTGTCCCATCTCATATATATTGAGACAGGTTACACCAACCAGCTGTCTCAGAGGTGAGGCCATTACCCTTTGGAAAACTAGTTACAGCCAGATGACTAAGAAAGATTGCCTGAACTGACATCTTGACTTTACAGCTTTCAATGAGAGCTGAGCTAGCAGGATGTCTTGAGTGACACGACCATCTTCTTCATCATCAGATACTAATGACTTCAACATTCTTTTTATCAGTAGTGAAGCACCATATGAGCAATAAACTGGAAAACAATTTTCCAGATGAGATGAGAAACTGGCAAACCCAGAGAAGTTTGAATCAAAGTGAACTGCAGTGATCTCTTAACGCACAGAAATGCTGAGAAAACAAGATCAACCTCAAGCCTTTCTCTAAATGGGGAAGATTTTACTCTTGGTAGCAAACTAACTAGAAATCACACACCATTGCACATACTGTCCTGATGCAACATTACATAATACATCCTGAGTACTGGTCTGGTTTTCTTTTGCAAGGCTGGTGCTAATTTCCGTTTTGGAAGGTGCAGATAAACTGAAATATCTAAACTGCCAAGTTGTTCTATGCCATAACGTAAGGCATGGCATTACATATTCTATAACACTACACCTTCTGTCCCTTTTTTGCATTTCTAACAGTTAGGAGTACCTGTTAGTAGAGCTCTCCCATGAGTTTTTACCATCTAGGAACACATGTCCATACCTACACACTTCAGCTCAAGTTGTTTACCCTCTCTGCCTCAGTGCATCCATCAGTTGGAGTGAAGGAGTATGCTCATGGGGGTCCTAAAGCATTAGTTATTTATAAGGTTAATTTGTTTTTTTCAACAGCTTTGTACAGTCTTCGATATAAATTAGGAAATTCTTGAGTTTCTTTTTCAAGAACTGTGTGACATTTCTCATACATCTTTTTTTCCATGAATATTAGCAGTACTTCCTGCATTTCAATCTGAGATACATACATACACTTCACACCACAATCAAATGGGAGAAGTAAACAACATTCAGGTATGAGTGCTTGCTTCCTGTAGGATTCTGTGGAAATCACAGATATCTCCATGTGGAATAGGACACAACTTGTTTCCTCTCAGCTGCTTGAACAACAACTTCCATTCTAGTCACTGCTGATAAATCTCTCCTAATAAAAACTGTACCAACCTTGAATCTAATGGGAAACTACATTCCTTTCTTATTCTCAGATACCTTTATACTTTTTTGTACCTCTACTATATCACCACATGTGGAATTCTATCTGGATCTTCTAGAAATTGCTCTGAAGATGTCTCAAAATGGTATCAAATTAGACATTGGAAGAAATCTCTCCAGTTTTATCCAATTTTGATCCATTTCATTGGCTCCCTACAAGGTTTCAAATGGATTTTAAAGGATTATTCTTAGACTAAAATCTAATAATCTATTAGTTTAATATAGTCAACAATTCTTAAATTTTGTGTCATCTTGAATCTTTAGCTAGCCGATCCTCTACTGCACTCCAGGTCTGACAAAGACAGCAGCACAATAGAGTTTCTCTGCATAGCCCCACAACTATGTCATTGCATTTAATCTTCTCTAATTGCTGTGCAAATGAGTCCCATTTCCATATTCATTCATCTTTGGAATTTTTGCTGAGATTATTAATATAGAGTCGTAGCTTTCGAAAAGTGGAGATAGAGATTGTAGGAGTCCAAGCCATATAGTACTAGACTAACTCTGAAGCAGGAATTTACCATGGATAACCCTTCATATACCATCCTCAATCCCTTGATAAACTGCATATTCTCTTTCTAGCTATTTCAAAAGGTGTAGACAGCAGGTGCCAGGTTGCCTTTTAATTGCACCCCATGGCTTTGGATTTCACAGCCTAATGGCAGGAGATCAGTTACACTGTGTTGACATAGTTTAGCAACAAGCTAAATAAAGACATTTTTGTTTTTCTGGCTCCTTAATCCTTGTGAGAAGTGTTGGCTATCATTTTAGTTCTGTGCCCCACAAGGCTTTCCAAGTTTTCCAGTCTTGTACATTGTACCCATTCCTATGTACAGAATCAGGGCAGACTACTGGTGTGAACATGTTTGTTGGTTTGTAATGAAGTGTCTTTGTATTGGGGAAACTAAGCCTTTAATTAAAACCAGCTGGCACTATAAACTGTTTCATGCTCCATAATACTTGCCGTGGTTTTCAGTTAGAGATATGTAAAATCAGGGTTTTTCTTCATCCTAACTGAAAACTCTGTTGATGGTTTTCTGCTTAAAGGTGGAGTGCTCCATCCCACCCGAGAGATGAGTAAAACAACTACATTATAACATTTTTGTATCCCAAATGCTGCAGCATTTGCCTCACAGAGAGTTTTACAAAAGAACAAATAAACCATGTGACAGCCATCTTGTTACTGTTTCTGCATTTTCAATCAGCCAATTCCTTTGGGTTATAATAAATGTAAATACAGAGTCCAAAATTTCAGCAAATATCATGCTTCTCGATAGTATGTGTATGGACAGTTGATAAGGAAGAGTGGTCAGATGAGCACAGTTCTGAGACATAAGAGATCAAGAAGAGAAGTACAACATCACCATTAAAATAATATCTCCCATAAGCAAAATCCAGTCATAATTATTTTACATTTCAGTTATGAGTTAGCTTTGCTAATGCTATTTCATTATTTCCATTCTCATGAAATCTATTCCCCCAAATTAAGTGAGTTTGCCCACAACATTGTGTTTGTGAAACTGCAAATATGAACCTGTTAAGTATTTGCAGAAAGAGACTAGAGTGATTAATAAGGCAAAAGATTAGGAGCGAGGCCAATCTGGGTCCTAATCCCAGCTGAGCCACTTATGGTGTAACCTTGGAGAAGTTACTTGACCTTCATGTTTCTCAGCAAACTCTGCTGGAAATTGGATACCAGCTGGACCTCAGAGGATACAAGACAGTCTGCTGAAGTCCTCCCAATTAGCAGTGTTAGAATAACAGTGAGCAGGCTTGCATTACTATTGTGGGGTATATGCACATAAGTCAAGGATTAATGACCTTCTTTCCCTTTCCTGAAAAGGCTAAACTGATCCTAAGAGGTGATCTACACACTACGTCCTGTCCAATTGCTGGCTGTATCAAACATTAAAATAATGGTGCATATGAGGCAATTAAGATTTAAAAAGATTCCAACTCTTCCCTTCCACCCAGCATTCTTCTGCACTTCCAGCAAGGACATTTATCAGATTATCTGATTAGTATGATTAGATTTATAGGCCCAGACTCTGAGCTGCATCCATGATGAACTATCTGCAGTTCTTTAATATGAGATCAGTTCTATGCAACTGGAAAAGGCAAGTCCAAGAATTGGCAATCCCTTAGCTGAAGTATCAGTCTGGCCACATTTACTCCAAACACACCTGCCAATGATCCTATGCCAGTGACTTTATATCATAAAGAAATTCCTCTTGTCAAGTGTATCCCAAAGTCCTTTCAAACAACTAAGTTATTTTCCTGAACTGAGCCTAAATTTTCCACTTGTATGCTAGTAATATTTGTTCTGCTTTTATTTAAAAGAAAAAAAAAAGGAAAGGAAAGAAAGAAAAAAAAATGAGATATAGGAAAGCAAAAACACAAAGCACACCAGTCCCACATAATCCTCAGACTTCATGGTTCACTGAAGGGAGGATAGTGAGAAGAAGAGTGTGCTCAATATGACTGCCATTATATATAGTTCAAACATGGTTTCATCCAGGTATCAATAAAAGAAAAATCAAAACCTAATACATAAACATGGAAGTAATCTGAAAACACAAATGATAAATCAGCACCATATTATCGTATGAAATCTTCCATATTTACTATAAAAGAGAAGATAGTTCTCCATAAATTATTAGAACAGTAGCTAATTTGTTACAGTATAATAACTAATACAAAATGTCAAAATTATCAAATTTTGAAGAAGTTGTGATGTGCAAGCTTAAATAAAATATCCAGCATTTTGTTTTTTATTGCAGTCCTCAGTCAGTACATTTGTTGGTTTTTTTGTTTATTCACAATGGTATAGAGCTGTACTTTCCAAAACAAATACGCACCACCTTTCTTACAAAAAAAAGTCTTTGAAACTGCTCTATGTGACAATACATGCCCCTTTAAGCCTTGTGGGGGAAGGAGAGTAGGGAATTCTGACAGATAACTGCTATTGTGTTGCAAAGTTCTCCATCCATTATTTACTGTTCTATTATTTTACAACCAAATTATTTTCCAGCAGAGCAATGGAGACACACACATCCTTGAGTGCAGTCTTGTTGTTAGTGCTTATTTGTCTGCTAAATAAAAAACTAATACACCTATCTTACTTCTTTTACATCCTCTCTGTATGGGATCGTGTAGGGCCATAAAAGACCTCAGTTGTTCAGTTTAACCAACAGATGACTTATCTAAATATGCAGATACAACACAGATGCAAATACTATACCAGCAAAGAAAAAGTAGAGAAGAAATGATGTCCAGATGTCCACAGTCTGATAGGATTTTTTCTGCAGTTGGTGCAGCTAATGCCTCATCAATTTTTCCTCTATGCCAGGACCACCAGGTCAGCAGGATCTGCTGGTAAATTTTGCGAGGATCAGCTCTTCAGGGAAGCAGATAACATCTCAAGGTTTGGCACTCAGCATCACATCTTCTTAGATGGAAAATGTGCTGCCACATTCCTGCTGCTTTCCAAGAGATCTGGCGAACATCTACAAACATAGGATCTCTACAGGAATATGGGAAAATTTCACATTTCTGCAGTGTTTGGAAGTCCCAGTAAAATGTATCCAGGGAAATAAACCAAACTTCAGCTCATCTTCTAGGAGGCCCTCCTTTTCAGTGTCCCATTGCCATGATATAGTTCACAGCAAAATCTGACATTTGGTAGGCACTACATTGTCTGTGTCAGAAAAGGTACAAGTGCTACCTATAGAGTTGTGGTAGCATTTATTCCACCTTTCAGATTTGTAATTTTCCACCTTGTTCTACACCTGACTGAGAAACTCTCGGAAAGAACCCGTGCCCTATTCCTAACCCATGTCCCTGATCAAAGCAAGGAAGAATGTCAGCCTTTGCCAATGCAGCTAGAAAAATTAGATACATAT